TTTTCGAAGAAGCAACAACTTCGCGTCCCTAAAAATATGAAATGACCAGAGTTTCTGATGTATGGCAGTTTTTATAATGGTAGGTACTAACGTGAACCGCCTTCTGTAATTTTTGGCCCCCTCCGAACCGTCTCCCAAACGTTTTCCGCCTACTTAGATTTTCGCCTTTCATTTACGAAAGCCTTTGAAAATTAATAAATATAAATTCGTTCTGTTCGTTGCGAGGGAAACTCTGAAGTATTCTTCCACCGCGCGATGACGTCAGTGTCCCGAACTGCTTTTGACGTCCTCGTGTTTTTTTTTTTTTTGCTTCGTATTTCCAGGTCTCTCAGAGACAGGTATTTTCTTACCGTAAGCAGTAGTCTTAGTATACGCAAATGAGTCGTAAAAACGTTTGAAAATATTTGAAAAGTTTTGAAATTTTGGTACTGAACTCCCAGTTTCGAAGATGTAGTTCTAGTAGCTATGGAAGTGCAAAATTACCTGCACAAAGTGTAAATTAAAACTTTAGCTTGGCCAGCGCGAAGTCCCGATATAAACCCGATTGAGCACTTGGGACAACATGGGTCAGCAGGTTGAAGCCTCATCATTGAACCTAATCGAACGAGATTTAATCAGAAACCACATTTCAATTTCAAATATGGTCCAAGAAAGTGTGAGGCAGTAATGGCAGTAAGGCGCTATTAAATTTTTATTATTTCATTGGTATACGTTATAACCTTACTTGAAATGTTGCGACGTTTTTTCCAAATAATCATTCATTAGAATGGTTAACCAAACGTCGGCAAGTTCGATTTAACAACAAGTTGTAAATAGCATTAATTAAATATCCGATTTAGATTTTGCACTTTTACCACGGGTATTGAACTCTGTATATAAAAGACTAATTTTTAGAAAGTTTTGCTACAATTTTTCCTGAATCTACTCACACAATTTAGCGTGTGTTGCTTCATGTCTTCAATATTTCCTTGTATTATTATGTTCAATTGTCGTATCCTTTTTTATTAAACAGGATAACTCTTTTATTATTTGTTTATCCGCAGCTGATTTTAGGTGTGGGACTGAATCAGAAACTATTGGAAATATTGGAATAATTCAAATTTGTAAAGTACGTTTCAAAACAATTACATTCTAAATAATCGAAACAGCTTCATATGGTTCATAGAACACTATTTACCATTTTTTGGGGAACTAAAGCACCTACAAAAAAAATATAAATTTCATTCTTATCGAATAATTAGAAAAAATTGTCTACGTATTTGTTTGCATATCGTTTTTTAGGGTAGGCAATGTGATTTTGACACTAGCTTTACCAAGCACATTTTCTTCAGATTGGATTAAATGTCATATACGAAATGTATTCTTTCATGACAATTTCGTATAATATAATTTTAGCTGTTCCAATCATCGAAGCAGACTCTGGACTGAAAAACAAACACAAACACCGTATCTGTTTTTTTTTTTTATGAAAAAAGTTTTTCTAAACCAAAGCAAATACCCTCCTTGACGATCGTCTTGGGATTAAAAGAGACGGCCGTTAAAATCGAGGAAACACGAAGAAAATATGACCAAAAACTGATATTTGCCATTTCGTTTCGCTTTGAGCAATTTCCCTTCCACCATTTAAATTTGGCTGCTCGATTCAGGACGAGCAAGACGGGAATCGTAAAATACGTTTATCGGGACATGACGTATATAATAAATCAGGTTGCGGATTACTACCTTTAAATTTTCAGTGCCAAAGAACGCGAAATATTCGGCGTCAAGAATAAAACGTATCAAATACAAAAAAAAGTGGAAATGTTCCGTCACTAAGTGGCGTAGAGACGTAGCACCGGAAATCGAGTTAAAGAGCGGAGATATTTTTAACCCTTTTAGCGTTCCAATACGTACCGATGGATCAGTTTATTTGATTTGACACGGCACTGCAACCTTTAAACAGGTATATTTTGCTTTTATCAGTATCTCGCTTTCTTTGACGGTGACGGTCCATCCTTTTGATGATATGATGATAGTATTCAAAAACAGTTTTTCAGAGAAACGGATACGAGTTGATCATATATTTTTAGTAAAAGTTCTCTAACTTGTTGACATGTTATGCCAGAACTGAAGGATCGATATCAAATTAGATTTATGCTTGGAACACAGCTGCCCAATAAATCACCTATGTAATTCATTCGGCTCTCTTTCTTGTTCAAATTATTAGAGATTCGAATGTATTTGAAGCTAATAGGATTTTTTTATTATCCTGTGGAACTTTACACGCCATTACTAACGAAACTGCTACCGAACCCCCATAGCCTACCTACTTATAATAGATTGGTAATATGACCAATCCGGCTAAATAGTGAATGCTCTGGTCCTTATATACAATTTAATACAAACTTGAAAGGATAAGTTTACAAAATTTTCACTAAAATTAGTATTTATTTCGATATTCATAAAATTCATAAAATCTGATTGAAATTAGACTTGCACTTTTCAGTGGCAAAGTAGCAAAAAATGAGATTGTATTTCTTTTATCTTTGTTGCACACACCTGACCTCATTTCAGGTTCCACTTCCACAACAAAACAGGATATAAAGGAATGAACACGGAAATCATTATCCAATCCTGCCAACCTCAAAAAAAATATAAATAGAGACATTGCATAGTGAAAGGCGAGTAAAGTATGGAAAAAATTGTTTGCATTGCAAATATAGACAGGACATAAATTTATTTTTGATATGAACAGGTAAGTTGCACTTCACCAGCAAAATTCGTAAATTGTTACAATTATATTTCCATTAGTAAAGAAGGTCAATATGGACCATCTAAGTGAAACTCGGACAACTAAAACTTTATTTTATGTTGGATATAGAAACCAAACAAAAACTCATGAAGTTTGTAATTTGTTTAACGCAAAATATCCAGAAAGCCCCATTACGAAACATAACGCAGCTCGTGTCTAATTCCAAATTTTAAATCATCTAAATTTTATGTAGACAGGCACTAATCAACCACAATTGTGAAACTAAAACTATTATTCACAAAAGTGTCAAAATTTTATAATCCGAATCCTGTATAAGGAAAATTTAAAAAAATATGTATTTTCTGAAGAGGCCAAGAACTATATTCTAGAAAATTCTTCCAAGTTTGGCGGGTATCTTAATTGTTAAGTTAATATAACTTTTCTGATTTTAATTAGGATTGAGGTTAGGTTTTAAGACATACTAGGTGTCTAGGTCAAACAGTCATTGTAATTGCAATAATAATTACAATTTTTCATTCGCGTTTGACGAACCCAAGCAATTTTTTTATTTAAAACCTAACGATGTTTGTAAGATATACATTATCCCCTATTACGTATTGATATACGAGAAATCGGTCTCCGGAACTTCTGAGGGTGGCGAATCCGAACTCGTCGTACTCCAACGTGACAAGGAGGGAAGCATCGCGGGCTTTCAATTAAACCAGGCCGCAATTATTTGCGAGCGAACATTCTACATTCTCCCGTCTCTAATCTCTATTACGTCTACGGATAATTGGCGGAGCCGCGATATGCATAAACAATTAGCAGACGTGATTTACATTGTATCCCGCTCGGTGTAAACTCCGGGTTTGTTAATGCGCATCGTGCAGCTATGGCAACTGCTTTTATTGGAAATATTGGAATTTTGGAAATTAGAAACTTGAATCATATAATAACTCAAATAAAGCGTTCTTTTGTTTATAATTAATTGCTATTTAATGTAAAAATAATAAATCCTAATTTAGAAATGATTTGATATCAATTAGAATGAATATTTATTTTCACAGCTCTATAACTTAAAAGCTGTTGGTCGGGGAGAATGTACGCATAGGAACTTTTTGTAGCAAATTTTATGCTCTACAAAAGCTATACACGCGTTTTTCCAAAAAAAAATTTTCTTCACGTCGAAAAATCAAGTGAAAACCGAAAAAAAATTTTTGTTTGTTATTTAAATAGGAAAATGAATTTTTAAATGAGCTAAGCTGCTGTTGCACTTAAAGCCTGTTACCCGGCGGCATAATTTTTTATTTTCTATAAAGTATCAGATTTTGAGGTAGCACAGAGAAAAAAAAATACCGCCCAATAATGAAGCACCCCAGTATACACATATACACATTCCTTTAAACCACATAATAAATTTGTGTTGTGACTAGGGAACATTCCCTGATATTCTAAAAGTCGCATCAGTTACACCTTTATACAGGGTGAGTCAGTCAGTTGTCAAGTAAAGAAAATCAAGATTTTGCAATTTCAAATGATTCAAACATATTCGTTTATTTTGTAGCGTCTAATTCAAATTCCTTTTCATACATCTTTTACGTCATCGTCGAATAACGCTCATATCAAATACGAGTGATCTGCCTTCAAAATTTTGGCACTAGCGAATTTTTTTTGCAAGTGTGAAAACTAGTATTTTTTTAGAAAAATTAAAATATTAGAAAAACTATTAGGTATATATTATTGTTTATAAAAAGTTGAAGAGTTTCAAAACGAATTCAAATTAAGAAATAAGATGTTCCATTGAAAAAAGTAATGTTTTAGTCGCCACACTTTTTTGAGCCACCCTGTATACTTTAAAATAATTTTAAATTGTGCATCCTAATAACGCGGAATGAGCGAGAAATATGTAAGCAATTCTAAGTATTTTGTTGCAACATTTGCTTGAAACATTTTTTGTAATTAGTGTGTCTCTACGAGAGCTAGAGAATAGGTTGTCTTGAAAATTTCCAGTCTGCTTGTATTTTTAACCTTTTGAAGAGTTTAAAGATTTTTAGTGACGCATAAGAAACAATAATTTATGACTCACTCTGAGATTATATTTTTGTAAAATCATTCATTCTCATTAAAAGCAAATTATCTATTTAATGATAGAATGATAGAATTCGTAAGTTTTCAGTTTAATTTTCTATTGTTTTTATATCGTTTATCCTAATTAGAGTTCTCAATAAAAAGAAAAGTCCCACGTCAATTGTATTTATTTACTTTTCAGAGGAGGCACTAACATGTAACGTCTGCGACAGAACATTTTCATGCCCCAAGCAACTGTCTGCGCACAAGCAAAAGAAGAGGCATTTCGGGTAAGATAATTCCAATATTTATTCCATGCGTTATGACCAACCAAATATATTTCGGACAAACAAAAGTTTTAATACATCGATGTCCCTTGAAAAGTTTTTTTGGTCTAGACAACAAGGCCCCGACAGATGGTGTTGGTCCAGGCCATAGGCTCTGTTACCACATAACCTAAAAGTTTATTTGCCTTGTATTCTATATCGAATTTTGTTAGTTTTGGTTTTCGTTTCTTCACCCATTTAAATATATTTTTCTTTGCTCTTACTTTCAGCGTCCACATACCAAATTATATTTTTCTTGTGATATATTGTTCTTGTTGCCCATATTTTAAGCTCTGTTTGTGCAAGGTAACACCAATCTATAGTTGTTTGCAGTGCTCAGGCCCGAAATTCAGGAGTCAAAAACCAGAATTACTCGTTCGACCTATTGTCATTAGTCCCTATTCCTGAAATGGTAAAACATTATTTCAGATATAATAAAATCCTGGAATCTGGAACCAGACCTTCTCATCTTAATAAAAAAATGCTTATCTGGAACATATTTTTATTGCAACGGTCAAATTTATGAACAAACGTCGTGAACAGCTATGGGTTTTCCATTATCACCAGTTACCGCGAATATATTTATGGAAGCCTTTGAGAAGAAACTACTCTCTAATAATTTCCACATGAGAGATATTAAGCGTTCCATCACAAAATACACTTCACCACAACCTTCCGAACACAATGAGTCGGAAAGCAACCTCACACTTGCCAGTGTTATCCTTCCTTACTTTCAAAACGTCCCTCACCACATATCAAAATGCCGATATCTGGAGTTTACAGCATTCCATGCATTTGCAACAAAGAATACATTGGAGAGACCGGACCAAAAATGTCAATAAAGCTCAAAGAACATGAAACAGCCTTAAGACTAAAACAAATAAACTCATCAGAAGTTGCAGAACACAAACATAAAACCGGACATCAGATCTTAACTGCCATTCAAGTCTTTACCTTTCACAACGTCTATGCCCCTCATTTAGCTGCTCCTCCCTCAAAATATACACAACAGTTACAGAATAGAATACGCACTAGCTTTAGTTAAACTCTGAAGAAGTCAACAGAACTACTGATCAAACGCCACACAGTAATCCATTTTGTGTTAGTGGCAGTTCTGCAGATCCATTCTGCTCGTCGATAACCCAGTAAAAAATCATCAATTGACAACTGTTGGGACCCTAAGGAAAAATGAGAGAAAGATTCCCGACGACTTTCTTTTTATTTATCAAGTCAGGAGCTACAAAACCGATATGCTGCAAATGCTATTTAATAAATGATGTAGTTTTTTCACCGACTAATGAAAAGTCTTACTTAAAATCTCTCAACGCTATCTTGTAAAGATAAAATTGCTCAAAACGAGGAAGTCACCTTTTATCTCACGAAATCGGCAAATTTCGGTGTTTTTGGAGTATTTTTCTCAACAGCACGTTTTTAACATTATTTAAATTATACTTATGCTTTCCAATATCCCCATGAAAGACGTCATGATCGGCTTTATTCATAATAATCGAAGTATAAATGTACAAATAATATAAATATATACAATATATACAGGGCGAAGTCTAGCCTAAGCCTATTTAAACTTAACACTGGTAAACCAGACTAAAACCTAGTTTAATTTAGATAAATTGTGTGCCAAAAGGAAAGTAAACATATCATGCAATAACTATAATAACAAATTTATGTCTAGTAACAGGAACCAATAAATAATTTAAATTAAAATGAAGGAGTATGAAGGAGTATGCATGCGGCGGCTGATCTGTGCTTAGGTATTAAAAATTTTAGTTTATTTCTGTTGTGCATATCAGAGTTCAGCTTGAATTTATTTCTAAAGTAAGAAAAGAGCTTTTTACTAAACCATGTACAAAACAACCCAAATCATAAGCCCTTCTATAAAACATGTTTAACCACTAAAGTTCATTTTGTTGTATGATTCGAACTTCTTGGGTTTAATATCAAGTAACAACAACTATCCTGAACCTTGAGAGAGTATTAATGCCTCGCACAACTTTGATTTTGGTACTTACCAAAATGACGACTGGAGTAAAGTTGCTTAAGTGAGATAAATACCCTTTGGGTAAGAATTTTTATATGTTCGGTATAGAGTAAATTGGAGTCACGTGTCGCTTCAGTAAATATTAAATTGTGGCCTTCAATACTGATACTCAAATTTGACATTAAGAAATCTCTGTTTGTCTTTTTGCCAAATAATTTGGATTTGAAGGGATTCAGTTTTAGCTCGTGTTGGACAGAAAGATCATTTAGTAGATTTAAATTTTAAACTAATGGCCTCCGTGTAATTATTCAAAATTGCCTGAGGTAGTACATTTAAGAACCTCTGAAGATTATAATAAATAGAGGTCCAAGTATGAGGACTTGGGGCACCCCAGAAAACACCATCCACCCAAATTTATTGTGACCTTTCGCACAAATAAGATCTGACACCATAAAGAAAAAATCCTCGATGTATTCCACCATCTAACCGTGTGCTTCATAAACATTAAGGGCCCGTCGAGTGTCCTACGGTACCTTTGTCTACGCTTTTAATCGACGCCACTGGTAAGAAAAATAAACGTTGCCGGTTTCTGCGAGTATCGTCGAACGCGTCAGCGGAAGCGCAGGACAAAAGAGTTAGATAAAGCCTTTACGAACGTATTGCGAAGGGTTCGACATCAAACGGCGGAAAAGTTTAAAGGAAAACATGATTAGCAAGTTTCGGAGACAATGAGAGACAAAAGGAACTGACCAACTCACATCGCAGCGTGTCGCCAGCAATTTTGGAAATACTTGGAGAAGTGGCTGCATTTGCGCCACAAGTTTATTTGGCATGAGCAAAGTGATATATATATATATATATATATATATATATATATATATATATATATATATATATATATATATATATATATATATATATATATATGATGACACTATATTCCGGGATATCATCCGTTCGCTTGTTGAACTCCTACTGGAATCCTGCATCCGACTGGAATCCTGCAGACGTTTCGCCAAAATCTCACTTGGCATCTTCAATGCTCGCGCTCCGAAAACACTTCGAACACGGAGCGCGAGCATTGAAGATGCCAAGTGAGATTTTGGCGAAACGTCTGCAGGATTCCAGTCGGATGCAGGATTTGCAGGATTCCAGTCGGAGTTCAACGAGCGAACGGATGATATCCCGGAATATAGTGTCATCACATTTTTCCATCCGTGAATCAATACGTGAGAATATATATATATATATATATATATATATATATATATATATATATATATATATATATATATATATATATATATATATATATATATATATATATATATATATATATATATATATATATATATATATATATATATATATATATATATATATATATATATATATATATATATATATATATATATATATATATATATATATATATATATATATATATCCATTATATATCTTGGTCCTTCCTCTAACCAATGATCTAAAAAAGTTTATTATAGGTTGTACCAAAACTAACCAAAATATGATTTAGAGGTAATTACTCGAAATTTAAAAATTGACTATTGAATTTGAAACTGCTTTTTTCTCAAAAATTCACATTTCCATTTTTTTAAAACATACAATGTTAAAATTTATTAAACGAGTCAATGACTTCTGTCTACAAATAAAAAAAAAGGAAATATTGACTATCGAATTTTCAACAGGATTTGCATCCCAAAACGGGATTTGCAGGTGATTTTCTCTCTCTGAAATTTTGCATAGATGGGTTTTCGAAAATTGATCTAGTATAAATGGTCATCATAAAAAAAAAGTCAGCAATTGAAAATAACATAGGCTTCCAAATCCTAACAAATATTTCAGAAGTTGTTGAAAGCAATTTCATTTCGAAAGAGAACTGGATTTGTATAAATTAACACACTTAATTTCAACACTAAAATACTGACCTATAATTTCTGCAGATGTTTGGATTTTTAAACAGATAAAAGACACAATTTTCTTTTGGGAAATTTTAAAAAACATTTAGTTATTGTTTTATAACTGGCAAGAGAAGTTTGCTAAATTACAAATTGTACGTTGTGCAAGTTGCTATTATCTAAATGAATTTTTGAATTATTAATTGTATTATAAATTGTATCAATGTGTGTATCTAAATAAAAAAACAGTTATTACGATTTTTTCTCCATTTATAGTTATTAAAATAGGTTTGTGGTATAGGTAAAAAATGATAAGAGTTCTGAAGAATGTTTAATTTAAAGAAATTAAAAATTAAAGAAATAGTTGTGGCTTTATTTATATAGTAGGGAATTTTTTGCTCTTCCTGTCAGATGTTTCCGGATTTTCAGTTACAGCTAACAACCCATTATGGTTTTTTTCTTCATTGCGGGGTTTATTTCTAGTTAAAACTCGTTCCATAAATGCACCATTTTGCTTAAAATTTGTTCAATTTGTTAAATCCGTCCGTTTAATTATAAAGACGTAGTTCTAAATTAATTTAATTAATTTAGTGTTCATAAATTTTTATATAATTAAAATGCGTAAATGCATTTTTGTCCATTTCTATGCATATCTTTGAATGCAGGTTTTTAGTTTGCAATTTTTCTGTTCGTGAGTCATAAGCTTTCTGGGTATCTATAAATGTGATGCGTGTTTCTATGTTCCTAGGATCTTTTTTTTATACCATACTATAGACCATATGCTGTACTTGTGCTGAAATACCGCGGTTGCAGTTACAGTTTTACAGTTTTGGTTGATTGCAGAGGTGTCTACCACGCTTCTGGGTGCCACGTTTCAACATTTTTACATATATTCCTCCAAGTCCACTAGTTTTAACTGATTGGAAGTTGCTAACAGCCTTTTCCGCCAGTTCCTTTGACATCCAGATTTCTTCTTGAACATTAATGGTTTTATATTTGTGTTTATTAATTTTCCTTGAAATATGACTATAAAAAATTCTGTTCTGTTTTGTTTTTAGAGAAAAAATTCTACGTGCAAAACGAACGGCACTGGAAACAAACTGATTACAAACATTCGCGAAAGCTCTTTTATAGTCGTCATGTCGTTTGCAAGGGTTTAGGGCCGTACAAAGTTTAAAGTAGACTGGGATTAGTACGCCCAGCTATTGTCGTTGAGGATCAAAGGCATTTCGTACAAACGTTTTCGAAGTTTCATTGGCTACTAGGCAGCCGGAGGCGCTGCTTTCATTGACGTAGGTATTTTTTCATCTTGAGTCTATTGACGATGTGCTCTTTGCAAAAAAATGTATTTGACATAAAATGTAAAAGTGCGTCAATGAAATGATGTTTTGATTATTTTACAATTTTTACTTTGGCCTCCGCTTGTGAATATAGTCACTTTGATTTTATCTTTAAAGACTTTGTATGCCTCGTTTTAGAAAGTCAGTATCAGGTTTATTTCAAATATAATATACAATGTGAGAAAGCTGGATATCACAAGAGGTTTAGAAGTACGTGAATCTCTCAGAATTACAAAATTTTAAGTGCCAGAGGGTCAAAGATAAAATTTTAATTTAGCTATCTACTAAAAATTGGATATGGCATTAAAAAAGATATATTAGTTATATAAATTTTAATGACACTGAGTTGCATAGTCGGCAAGATATACTCAACTCTTTTGCACTGTTTTCGATAGTCATTTTATAATGGGGGCTCTCTCAACAATTTTAATGGTATTAATAATAATAATAATAATGAAAGAAATAAAGAAGTTCTCCGAATATGAAGTGGAAAAAGCTCTGAATTCACAATGGGTACAGATTCAATTCGAGCAGCCACACTAATACTTTTTAATCTGTGTCTAACCAAGCTGTTCCTCATATAAGGAAAATCACAAACTATAGGGCTATTTCCCTTACCTGTAATTTCTGTAAAGTTTTAGAATCTGTCTTACAGGACAAAATATTTCATGTTGTTGAAAATCAAATAGTCTCTCAACAACACGGATGTTTTTAAAGAAAGATCCTCCATTATCAATGTAACGATTATGTCTGAGTATATTTCTGAAGCTATTCATGAAGGTTCTCAAATGGGCGTCACACATGGTCTCCTCAGGGGTTCCTCAATGGTCAATATTGGGGTCATTGACATTAGGAAAAACCTTGATTTCAGTTCTTTTATATATGCGGAAGACGTATTTTTAAACATCCAGTGTTTAGAGGATTGTCTCAGCGTAGTCTGGAGCAGTTCAATAATAACTTGCAACTTAATAAAGCCAAGTGTAATGTAGTCTCTCTTACCACCATTAGTGTAGATGTGAAATCTGAAAGTTTTTGATAAAACTCTCCCGTTCTAACACCTCTTTTATAGACCAAATTTTCTTGTTCCCCGTATTAATTCTGGACAAAGTATTCTTTCTGTCCACAGCAAGAACAAATATTTTAATATTTTCACCTATTTCCTCGATGTGCTCCAAATACAATGCACGATCCAATTAGGACTTTTCTGGCAACCTATTACTAAGTTAAAATCGTTATTGCCCCATTAACTATAATTACAAATTTCAGTCTATTCCTATTCTCTTGTTTTTTTGTTTTATTAGAGTTAATGCTTATGTTAGGCTAGACCTTAGGTTAAGTTTCGTGATATCATCATTGCCTCTATAACTATTTAATAATTTGTACAACAACCTACCTGTTAGTTGGGTTTCATGCCTGTTTCGTAGACTTCTTTCAATAAATAAATAATAGTAGGGATATGAAAGTTACAGATATCCCTCGAGGGACCAGATACATTACTAACCGCTAAATACAAAAAATTGTCACTGCCGCCTTCGTAGATATGTTATGAACAAATTTCTGAGAAACCTGCTTCAAACTGCTTCATTCTTGTACACTTACACGCCTGTTCCTCTCGCATCGCGGAAAGAAGTCAGGGACGGATTTAACAAATTTTAAGCAAAATGGGTATGAAACTAGTTTTAACTAGAAATAAACCCCGCAATGAAAAAAAAACAGTATTTTTAGCTGTAATTTAACATCCGGAAAAATGTGTCAGGAAGATGAATATATAATAATAAATAAAGCCACAACTATTTCTTTATAATTAAACATTTTTCAGAAATCCTATAACTGTTTACCAATACCACAGACCTATTTGAATAAAAATAAATGAAACAACAAAAAAATTCACAATAAAAGTCAACTGTACAGGGTGATCCATTTCACATGCTCCTATACCTTATCTCAATAACCACGACCTGAGGAAAAAAAGTTCAATACAAAAAGTGTTTGGCACTAAGTATATATTTTATTTATAGTATTTTGATATATACAGGGTGTTTCGTTGTGCCAGAACTCGGAGTCATTATATAGCATACGAAATTTTGAGTAGTTTTTGAGAAAAATTAACATTTCCAATATTTGGGGGAAAACAGGTGTTTTTAAAAAATATGTTTTTTTTACACTTGAAAACAAAAATTGGGAATTCTTATCATGTCATGGAAGTCGTTACTGCTTTGATGTATCTATGGCGAAAATATATATACAAGGTGGTAACAAATGACCATCACTCATCTTAATTTTTTGTTTAAATGTCACTTTCAAAATAGTGGTCCATCATAAGGGAACAATAAAAAGGCCTTGTTCAAAAGTCCTGTTAATTTATGAACTGGCAAAAATTTGAATTGATGAATTGATGTCCCGTCTGTAAAATATCTAATTATACTTCGATCTAGTGTGCGGGAAGCGGCACTTTTCCACGTCAGTTTCGTTTCCCTCGGATTCGAGCCACTTCGGACATTTCCGAGATTTTATCGCACGGGTTTGGGAGCAATCGGATGTTTCCGGAGATATTTCCCACGCTTTGAATTTTGACGTTTGGCAACTCTGACGGTCATAGCTCTGAATGTATTTGTGTTGTTTTGCGAAAATGCACCCAAAAACTAACGGTAGTAGAAAAAGTATAGTATGCAACACGTTCGGTAAACTTTTTTAGTCACCCGTTTATTAAACACTCGCTCCGCTGCGCTCTGCTCGTGTCAAATAGAAGTCAAATGCCGTTTATCACACATGTTGAATAATATACCAATTCGCCATAGATAAGTTAAAGTATTAAATATTAACCACTTCCATGAATCTATAATAAACATTCCCAATTTTAGTTTTCAAGTGTTAAAAAAGCACAGAGTGGTATTCAATAATCGAAAACACCATCCAAAAATTATTGTCCTAACAGAAGAGAATCAATTAGAATTTCTCCTCTTTTTTGAAGAAAACAAAGAAAATTCCTAAAGATATTAATGTTTTTGAATGTTGCCCATTTTTTTTAAGTGGTATATTGGCTCCAATGCATGTCTTACCTAAGAAATGGGCTTGTTTGCAGTTTTTTGGTTTTTCTTCAAAACAAATTGGTGCCCCAAGTCAACTCTCGGTACCTCTTTATCCACGACATATGGAAGTTAGTTTTCTGCATTTTAACAAACACTGGCTCTTTACAAAACAAAGCACACAAGAACGTTTCAAGTAGACGATATAAAAGATACTAAACATTGCCTTCCCTTTAAACATCGAATTCCCTTTGCAATATAATTTCATTAATTTAGTGGGGGTTTATACTAGGCATCTTTATTTGGCAATAAAATGCAATGAACTCTTTATTATTAGAAATGTTTTACACAAAACAGACACCTTTTTAACTTTTACTTTACTACCTTTACTCTTTTACCCATACCTTTTCTGTTCTACTACGATGAACAACTTCACTGCAATTGAGAAAATTAAATCGATAGACTAAAGCTGTATGCAGGGTAATAAGATTCTATATTTTTGATATGCAGGGTGTTGAAATAAAACAAAACGTTTTTCCCCATTGTCATTGAAACTGCTTTATATATTTTGTAGAAATTTATTAGCATATTTACTTTTTTACCTTTCTTCTTTCTGACGTTTTTCCTTAGTTTATTATTATTATTTATTTTTTTAATTTTAAATACGACACGAAGCCGTTCCAACATTTATTTAAATGGCGTATAAAATATACGAAATCGATATTTAATCACCTGGCTCCGAGCTCCCGTTTTTTTTTTCTCCACCGGAAGCGAATTCAATTTGGGGAGTTGGGCCGGTTTTAAATTACCCCATTACCGGTTACGTACGAGGGGGCTGTTTAGAGCTGAAACCGGTTAATAGATCTATAGATACAAATCTGATTAATCAAGCGAATAGGGAAGCTAGTTTCCGAGAATCTAATTTGATTAAAAGCCTTAATGCTGATTAAAATCGCCGTAAGCTGTAGTGAATGTGTGCGACGTATATGATTCGGCAGTCTTTAATTAACCGTTTTAATGTCCGCTTAATTAGTTCCGGTAAATAATCCGAGCACGCCTCTGTAACCACAACAACGTAAACTGCTTGTGCGCTGCCATGCAAGTAGTAGTAGTAGACAAGTTCTAAAACCAATTTATATGTAGGGGTGAGTGTCGTCCAATGACATTAGATTAGAAGAAAGCTCAATGATGTAAATGAAAGCAAGGTTTCATGAATTGTTTTGTTATTGTTGAGACTGAGATTTTGAGTATGACCTGAGTTCGCTCGTTGATAGACCAATAGATATAATGTAGCTCGCACTTATAAAATAATATTGAACTGAAGTGACTTTTACTTGATGAAAATCCATTTGTCAAAATAAATAAGAACTAGAAGTTCAGATTTGAACTGAACTGAACTGTATCCTGTAGAACAAATGGCGAAAATCGGCTCTATTTATTATTCTCCAATTCATTGCAGGTGTTCGGCTTGTGACAGTCTATTCCCGTCACTGATGGCGCTGGAACATCACAAAGAGGAGTTCGAACACTGGTCAGAAGAAGACGACATCTGCACAGATTCCGATGAAGACGACGACACTGTCATCAGTGAGGAATGCGAGCGCCTCCTCTAATTCCATGCAGAGAATTGCCCCACGCATAATCGCAAATGTGACATTCCATTAGAAGAATTTGCTATATATTTTTAGACCTCCAACCAAGTTATAGACGCTACGTTTGATATGCCGACATATCACGAGCACAACTAAGGATCCCTATTCGAGTCTGTGCATTATTTTGTTTATAATCTACAACCATGTAAATATAAATAAATAATGTTATATCGGCTTATTTATTGTGACCTAATGCGTAAGGAACTAGCGTTAAACAAGTATAGGTTGTAACCCCACAGACATAGCATTAAAATATATTTTTTATTACCTCTTATTAATGAGATTACGATTACCTAATATACGGAATATTTTATGTTGTTTTCTGAATATACATATCCCAAATAAAAATTTTCGTTTTCATGGTATTTTTATTTACATTGATGCCGTGGAATAATTTTGAATCAGGTCCTGTCTAAATTTGAAGATTTCCAAATGAAGAAGAAGAATATGTACATTCATTTCTTAGATTGTTTGGTTCTGGGCATTAGTGAAACGCATTATTGAATTGATCGAGATTCTGTGGTTGAGCATTGCACGCGGCGGTTTCCACTGAGTGGAGTTAGTGTTTTCAGTGTTTAGTGAGTTTTAAAGTGATAATTGTCGTCGGTCCTGCTCTGTTAGACATGGCAACATAGCATGTTAACGTTCCTGCTGTAGAAACTTCTAGGATTTAGTCTATCCTTAGCACTCAGCATATATCGATACGCGAGCGCAATGTTCTCAGGCAACGCACGATAACCGGCATTGTAATTATTTGAAGTCGTTACAGAATCAATCTTTAGTTTCTGAACTAACGTATTCATTTAACTGTCGCACGAACCCCCGACAGAACAGGTCCCATCGTTTTTCCCCGTTTACGCCGGTATGAAGGCCGAATGGGTTCGGATAATCTGGGGTGAAAGCGAGGGCAATGTCAGATTTTTGGTATCGGTCAAAATTGTTTTTTGCTAGTTGAGCAAATATTGGATATATTTCTTCTTGTACTTGTTGTTCTATTACCCAAAGCGACCTCGACGAAAGTCGGCAATGGGCATATCATCCTAGTAGTTGAGCCCAAGTTATTGTGAAACGTTTTATTGTACTTGTACAATTCATTTCTTAAGACCCTACCTTTAATATATCGGCATTAATTTCCGGGCCCAATATGTTTCATGGTAAGACAACAAGAATTTTTAAGTCAGTGCATCAGTGACTGTCTTTTAATCCAAATAATCCACTATCTCTAGATTTTTTTTTTCTGTGCATGCATATCTTTGTAATCCGTTAAGAGCGTCTGTCCGTCTCCGGCGAACAACGAATGCGTGACCAATTCCGTGACAGTTCGTTGATCCGTGGTGAAAAATAGGAGCTAATTACACATTTCGATATTTTTTTTTTATTAAAGGGCTTTAAACCAAAGTTCTGGGAAGCATTGATTAATTAGACTTTTCCATTGCGTGTTTTTTAAGAGGAAAGATCTAATTATGAATGCTTTTCAGAGATGTCCCAATACGTCGGAATTGGAACCCCTATATCTGCCACAGCAGCTGTACTTGAGGCCTATGGCGAAGCTCAATATTTCCCTGCAGCTGCCCAACGTCAAGAAACTAGGCAAAAGCATCTCCCACTGGGAGATTATGGACAAACTGAGAGAACTGATACGACCTGACGAGTTCACAGTGTTAAAAGTTACTAAAACAACTATTGAGTTTGTTAGATTTGAAGCTGAAGTGGAAAAACGGGCCAAGTTGGAGCGCGTAATCTCGAAAATTGACAATAAAATGATTAAACTTAAAGACTTTAGGGATTTGATGAGGGTAAGGGCAGCAGAATACCGATCTGATTTCCCTAATAGGAAAGTGTGGGACGCATTCTTCCAAGATATCCGAAACATGGACGAGATGAAGCCCGGGCTTCGTCCCGACACAGTGCATATATCCAACTTGCCAACAAAATGGTTTATTAAATACCATTTATCGAATGATGAAGATATGACTCCATCAGAAAAAATATTCTATAGGATATTTGAAAAGTTTGGTAACATACGTAATGTTGATATACCCACTTGCGATCCGTACCGCAAAAAAATGAAGGAACAAATCTCGGGCTTGAAACATTCTTCCTTTGATAAAACTGATTTTTTTGAAGGTTATGTGCAGTTTAAAGATTACATCGGCTTTACAAAGACTATGGACTTTTTCCGTGATAAAAAATTAGTGCGCAAGGAAGACGAGGATTTTGTTGAAGTGGAAATTAAAGTGGACTTTGATAGAAGTAAGCATTTGAGCGATGGGTCCATTAGGAGAAGGGAAATAGTAAGGGATCGACTCGTAAAGAAAGCTCGCGAGCAAGAGGAGCGTGATAAAGCAGCGTTGGAAGAAAAAAGAAAAGTAGAGGATGCCGAAAGGTTATAGTTGTTTGAAAATTTTTAACAGGGTTAAATATTCTGCCCGTTTTACAGAGGGGTTCCTTAGATTTCATGTTTCTATTGCATTTACGTAACTAGATTATCAGTTTGACAAAGTAACTGTAAGTAAGTTATGAACACACCACAATTTAGACTAATTTTTGGATTTGTTTGGTTTAAAGCGAATTTGTGAATGGTAGGTATTGGTTTATAGGAGAGAGGCGGAAAACTTAAAAAACCAGAAGGAGATTCGCAGGCGTTTGAGGGAGGAGAGGCGCAAGGCGAAAATACTCAAGAAACTAGAGGTGGTTGGTTCAGACGAGATCAATGAAAAGATCGCCAGGGAGGAGAAGAAACTGTTGAAAGCCCAGCGCAAACTGGAAGCTATCCGTCTCGTCGAAGAATTATTTAAAAGGATCAAAGAGAAAAGCGATGGCAATGTCCAGCACTATGACGGCATGCCCAACCGCACCGGTGATGAGGTAACTTAAAGCAAAGTAAAGTTAAACTTTATTAGTGTTTCCAAATACATAGTATTTTATCATACTTCATAATTTTTTAATTAACCTAATGCTATCCTAAAAGCCCTTAATCATTGAGAAATTCAGGGTTTATACACTCATTAACGGGGATATTATAGGAGTGAAAGGTTATTATATGTTGCATAACTAACTCTTTTAAAATCAGGTATTAGATTTTCAGAAAAATATTCACACATCATATTTTTCTAATTAATTTAATGGTATCCTAATATCCACTTATCATTGGGAAAAGTAGTGAAGGGCTAAAATTCAATTAAAATCAGGTATTAGATTTCCAGAAAAATGCTCGCACACATCCACCATAATGTTTTCTTGGGCATTTTTTGCAGTAAATAGACATGGTGGGTCAATGGAAGACTATTTTTTTTAAATTAGTAAATTTTTGTTTTTGATCCTTTTGCTCGTAAAAAGTAAAAGATTTGACACAAAATTTGAAAATTGATTTAAAACATTTGTGCTTTATTTAAATAAAGGAACTTCTTCTACTTTTTATTATTCTCTTCTAATATAGCATCAGTGTATTAGAACTTTGGGTTTTTGGGTTTATGGCCATTTTTTCGTCAAAAATGCAAAAAATGTTTGACGCCATTTCCAACAGCTGTAACTTTATTGTGTCAACTATTTTAAAAAGTAATTCAGTTATTTATCCTAGTAGTTCGAATCGTATATACAGGGTGAGTCAAAATAAAAAATATTAATTTTCGTGAAAAATCAAATGAAATACCCTGTATGTTACATTAATTACCTAAAATTTTGTGAAAAAAATGTTTTCTTTCTTTCCATTAATTTAGAAGTTATGCTTAAAGCTCATTAATTTAGAAGTTATGCTTTTCTTAAAGCTCAGAATATTATTGAACTATAAATAATGTTTTCAGATCGCGCCTTTTAGAACAAATGTAAGTTGATCCTGCAAATCTAAGTTTGCCATGGAAATGTAGGTTGGTCATGCAAATAACTATTTAAATAAATTAATTTAATTAAATAATTCAATAAAGTGAAACTTAATTAATCAGTTTTTTTTGTTTTGCAGTTTTGTTCTTAGTTTTTAAGTGTTTTTCCTTGAACTATCAGCCATATTAATATTACATTTTTAATATAACCCCTAGCGTAAAATACTGATTAAACTTTTTTTCCATTGCAGTTCATAATTTTATTTTTATTTAAATATCGAATTAAGTAAATTATTTGTGAATTACATTTTGTAATAATATGTAACGAATGCTATTGTGTGAGAAAATAATTATACTTAACTCGTCTGTTTAAACTTTTCACATTCAGGTAGTAAGTATTTGTTTTAGTTTCACACGGTTTCAAAATTTTCAGTAGTTTGTAAAAATGTGTATATCTTAAAAATACTAAATATATTAATTAATTAATTGATATTTTTCATTGTGACTCACACTGTATAAACGATTCAAACTAACTTCAAGACAAGTATAGGATATTTGACTGTACTACTTTATAAAACTGTTGGCAAAATAAAATTACAGCTGCCAGAAACGGCGTCAAAAATATAGGTAATTAAATAGGGGGTATTTTCGACGAAAAAATGACCATAAATTCCACAACACTCAGTATAGACCATTACACCCTACATTGGGTGATTGAGTACAAAAACGAGTATCTATTAATGCCATCATATATAGGGAGTTCATATGTTTAATTTCCCACTATTTTTAAATTGTTTCTTTTAAATCCTCCATAACGTTTGTGTTTTACATTTTTCTCTAAAACAAATAATAGACTAGTAATATTGCTTTAACACACTATTTGTTGGACACTCCGTATGGATTTATCAGTGGCAATCTCCCACGACATATTAATTAAATTATATATTTCATTTGTTTTGTTGTTATTAAACCAAATAACTCTACCCGTCATTGTTGGTCATTTTTTTTCCTGTTTTTTTGAATCCTGTACATGCAGAGACAGAATTTTTACAAACGTATCACATTTTTCTGCAAACCAGCTATTCCTTCCAGAACTTCATCATCTTTTACCCGAATTTTCAGTTGAGGAGGCTCAAAGACACCAGCGAATTGAATTTCCTAACCCAACGCGAAAAATTGCACCACGCAGTCAAAGGGCGGGTCATGTTGAAAACCATACTATCTGAGAAGTCCGTAAAGACGCAATTTTCTTCCAGTTCCGATTCGGAATTGTCGCTGGAAGAGACGTCGGCTAAAAGGAAAACCGTACCGCTTCAGCCCGCGGAATTTATGTACGGGTTTCCTTACCAACCACCCATATATCCTGGTTTCATCCAACCGCCGGGTTTGTATCCGGAAATCGACATCTATGCCCTCTACAGGGGGCGGGGCATGTCGAGGCCCGGCTCGTCCAGGGGTATTCACAAACGCTACAGTTTGGCGAATTCGTGCTTTGTTTTTATTCATTCGCAGGCGGCAGGCGAGGCAGGGGTGGCCGTTTTAGAGGCAATTACAGGGGTAACAACAGGTACTACCCTCCGGACTACAACAGGTACAACGAACACGACTCCAGGGCCAAGTCGCGTTCATATTCGCCTCGCAGATCATCTAGGAGGTCCAGGTCTCGTTCCAGGAGACGGTCTTATACCCGGTCCAGAAGCAGATCTTATTCTAGACGGCGTAGCAGGAGTAGATCGTCGCGACGGAGCAGCAGGTCCCGGCGCTCGAGGAGCAAGTCGAGGAGTCGCAGGTCGAGGCGCGACTCCAGGGAGAAGAGTCTCTCGAGGGACAAGTCGGTCGACAGTTCGAAGTTTATGACGCCCAGGCAGTTGTTGGAGCAAAAGGCGAGGTCGAGGAGCAAGTCGTGGTCCATGCCGAAAGAGGGCGGGGTCGGTACTGAGAAGTCGTGGTCGAAATCGCCGGAAAAGACCAAGGGGAACGACGGTCCAAGCGCCGTCGAGTAAAGCTTTAAGTTTTCTCCATGTATTCGTGATATTTATTTATAAGTGCAAAGTAAAAGTTAGAAAACACTTTTATTGGTTTACTATTGTAGCCCAACACTCAATAATTGGCTATGGCCCATTATAAACGGAAGGCCCTTTACCCTCAATAAACTGAGCAAGGAGGTATTTTTATTTTAGTAGTGTTAACACGAAGTAGTACCACAATTTTATCCAGAGATCCAACTGATGACCTCAGGCATATAAAACGACCTGATGGTACACAGGGACTGCGAGGAAGGAAACGGTAGAGCTTCTAGCTAGAAATCACTTCCCAGAAAAATTGCCTCTTGGTGCGCCAAACAAAAGGCCCACCGCAGCCGACAGCCGACCGATAAGCGGGACAGGCAATCGTTTCTTTCAAAACTATTAAATCGCCCGGGGCATTTACCCAGTTCTGTTACAAAATGGACTGAACATACTGCCTCCATAATTCGTCAAACTATTCAGAGCTGGTCTGGCATGAGACTACATTCCAACCAACTGACCGGCAAAAAGGGTAGTTTGGTGGTAAAAAGTCTGGACAAAATTCCAGAGGTGTGGATGAGAGGGAGACCCTGTTAAGGAACCTCCTTCATGCCCATTATTAATATAGCACTCGGGTACCAATCCCGGGCGAACAAAGAGACAATTGGCAGTGTTCCTAGACTCAGAGGGAGCATTTAACAATGCGCTGCAGGAATCTCTTTGAGTCAGTAAAAGTTCGAGGGATGCATCCTATTTTATGTAAATAGATACTCAGCATGTTGTTACCATCACCACGTCTATAGGGCAGGAGGTGATCAGCTCCAGGAACGCCAAGGGTTGGTTACAACGCGAGTGCTATCCACCCCTCTTGTGTGGACGCGAGAACAGGGTTTCTGCTACCCTCCAGGCAGTCCTAGATACGATACAGAACTGGTGCCGGAGAAAAAGCATGACTATAAACCACCGGAAAACGGTAATACTGCTTACTGGTACCCTCAGTACTATGCCTGCAGCGACCATGGAAACCCTACCTATATCTGGGAGAAGAGGCAAGGTAGGCTATGTATAGACGTTTTTAAGTGGCATTTGCTGGACCCCGTGTTAGACCACGGCATTCTAAGGACGCCATCAGACATGATGCCAAAGACATCATGGACAGACCTTCCCTATGAAGTGATCCTATCAAGAAGGGATGAGTGGGTTCAGTTACTGCCGGGTCCAAAATGCATGAATGCGTGGGGGGTGGGGAGCACCAAAGGAGGAAACTATCATTCGGCCTTGGTACACACCCCAGCATATTCGAAGCGGAAATGCACGCGACTGAGATCTGCGCAAGGATGCTGGAAAATAATATATTTTCGGACAGGCAGGCGGCGCTAGAGTGCCCTAATAAGGTAAACAATCACATGGTTACCAGGACAGTGGACTGGAAAGTAATGACAAAGCTAACCTCCTAGCACTTCTGCACAAAATCAGAATTAGACTTAAAAATATCAGCAAGCGTAATTGCATTGAAGGGATCCAACAATTGGTGAAATGGTGGGAAAATACTTGACTCAAATTTATCAATTATTTTACATAGAAAAATGTGAATGTTGAATTTTGAATTACACTGTGACACGAAGAAAGGTTGTGTGCTAGAAAGTACTATCGATCAGCAGCAAAAAAAGGGTATCGCAAGAGTTCCTTAGTCACCCCATGACCTTTATTTTGAAAAAAAAATTATATAAAAAACGTCAAAACAAAGTTTTAAGAACCGAAGTTTGCACACCAAGGCAACAAGCGTTGAAAGATCTTGTGCATAGTGAAAACTTTTGACCAAAAAGTATTTTATACAATCGGGAGAGCAGAAATCGCAACACCCAACAACCAGAGTGAAACATTTGTGAATGTGATTTACATAGCTCGCCAGCTACGAAATCACGCAAAAGGCCTAAGACAGACAAATCGACGTAATTAGTATAAGATAGGTCCCAACCTCCAACACAAATATTGAAATTCAAGAAATTTAACGTACCCGTCCAAAAACCAGATGCACTTAATTAAAATGCGACAAGAAGAGTCAAAAAGACGCAGATCATGCATTCAAGAACTCGAAGATTATACTGATTATACTTATCAGTAGTCTCAAAAATATCAAGTTTAGTGGGGCCGGTTTAAAAATACAAGGTGAATATTCAGGGCAGAGTTTAGGTATGGTTTTTGTGGATAGGAATGCGTAGATTGTTGTGTGAATAAACACCTGCCAGTTTTAAACTCTTTATTTTCTTGTAACATCGTTAAATATAACTTTTGTGGGCCTCGTAACTCAATAAAGTTAACACTCGCGAAACCTAATACACATATATTCATTAAACCTTAGTAAAGTTACCCATTCTCTTTCTACATCTACTCTTTTGATCACAAGTTAATACGCTTATGTTTAATATAGGGGGGCGCTTCGTGCGCCTAAAGCTACGAAGATCCGGCGAATTCCCTTCGAACTACATAAAATATCAGCTATGTTTCCACGTTGCCGCTTGGTTAGTAAATGGTAAAACGCCGACTACCAGGTTTGGCCCCGCCACCGCCCTTAAGCCATCGCCGACACAGGCAGAGAACTGTGCTTGGGCTTGGTTTTGTTGATAAACACTTTGACGCACCCGTTAAAATCGGCCGAAACCAACACGTAACCGGCACACCCCTTGGTATGCTGCTCTACCACCGGGTCTTCAACCTGAAGCGGGACATACCGATTTTTTTTTCACCCGTTAACCGATTCTACATACCCTATCCGAATGATCCTGGCTACCCTCCATGTATCGTTTTTGATTCTCTTCGATCATTTTGATTATGGCTTCGGGATTGGGTGCGAAAATGGCGCACGTCACGACTGCGTTGTGCGCCTTGATTGCTTCCCAAAAATCGTTCCTGTCTCTTCGGACCGACGAAAATTTCGAGTAGTCGTGATGGGTCTTCCAGACGTAGATGTCTCGGTTCTCCGATCCGCTGACGATGTACTTTCCGTCGTGGCTGAAACTGGCTTTGATTTGGCTGCTCGTGTTGACATATCCTGAAATCGAATCTCTGAAGCTTATATACGGTTTAAGAGAGACGGGGCTAAAGGTGGGGCATGGACATTTGCTAGGATAACTGATTCCCACATTAATGAAAGGTGGAAACCTGAGATTGTTTGATTGTTTACAGATTTCTATGGATTCTCGGATTTTTTTTTTGGTAGAGGAATAGATTACATGCAAGAATTTTTTAGTTATAGACTGTTTGAGGGGGGATTTCCATATTGGTGAAAAATACAGACCTAAGTCGCGGTTAAGATTGTTTGGTTGCTTATAGATTTCTATAGATTCTCGGATTTTTCTTTGGCAGAAGAATTGATTGACTACACGCAAAAAATTTAGTTTGGTCAACTACGATTTGATGCTCTGTTTCATGATTGTGTTGGTCGACTGCTGTTTATTTGTTCTAATCTTAAGGCTCTTTCTTTCGTGTTCTCTTAGGCTAGTGGATATTTTGTCTACAATCTATTCTTTGGAGAAATCTAAAATTCTTACAGGGAATCAATGCTTCTACCAAAAAAGATCCCATAATTCATAGTAATTTGTAAACAGCCAAATAAATAATCATCCGTCAATCAGTCATCTATCAAACACCGAGGGTACACTTGGCCTCGCATTACAAACCATTAAAAGAAATAATCCAATACGATAAAATTACACAATAAAATAGCAAAAACTGGCAATTGCCAATATGAATACCATTAAAATTTAAAATTAAAATGGTACGCATTTGTATATATATAGTAGTAGGTAGTTTGTAGATATTACATTTGATAAAGACACAGTGTTGAACGTGAAAATCTGAACTTTTAGTTTTTATTTATTTTGATAAATGGATTTTCATCAAGTAAAAGCCACCTCAGTTCAATCCGTAAATATAGGCTGACCTCTAAGCAAGGAATTATATCTCCGATAATATGAGGCACTTCAGTGACAGACAACATAGAGAAGGAACGTAGGAACGTCTAGAGTGCCAAATACGGTCTGCAGGAAGTCTCGAAAGCGTTGATTTTATTATTGAAAGAACCCCCAGATCAGTATTCCATATGATATGCGAGATTGGGCATAAGCAAACAGAAAGTTTGAGTTTGAGGAACACAAAAACTGTTTAGGTTTGAGCACAGAGAGTTTAGGTGATCTTTCCAATTAAGTGAAGAGTCAATAATCACACCAAGGAATTTAATCTTTTGACCTCTGGGATTGATTTGCTGTTCAAGTTAACATCTAGGGAGCAATTTTTTACTAAAACGATGAGACCTGTTTTGTTTCTGTTCAACCTAACATAGTTTTGCTTGCACAGTTCCACTGGCCTCAGAGAGACGACCCAGAACAAAACAATTGATATATCATCAGCGCACTGACAGAGTAGCCCCAAAGCGAATTCAGTTACAGAACAAAACGATGGAGCACAATATTAAGCCCTGTTGTTTTTTGGTAATGCACACTACCAACCTGTTGTCTCTCCCAGGTCTGTTTTTAATTTGTCATCTCTTTCGTACACCACAGAACAAAAATAAATCAATAAGAATTAAAAGCTAAACAAAATTGGACATGGTAAAAACTAAATACAAGATAATTTAGAGGAAAGTCAACAACAGAGAATAAACTTATTGTGCTTTAATATGGTACATTTGAACTACTTTATATCCGACGACTTGTATTATATCCAAACGAATGAAACTGATAGAATTTTTACATACTGTTTATTTTATATTCTTTGCTAGCTGAATGTTTAGAGATAAGCTACTATTTTTTAAGTGTTTTCGCATTTATCTTTTATTTGTCGAGGAAATTGGATATTCATCAGATAAACAAATATGCACATAAAGTAAAAAATTAAGCCGAATATTAGCAACTAAAAGGCTCCTTTACTTAATTCTAAATTAAGTGGTGCTTCCAATACCTAAGAGATAAAAAGTATTATTTAATCACTCGGGGAGAACTGGGGATGTCAAAACTAATAATTAATAAGACAAATTGCGATAAAAGCGACCGATCACAACAAAATTTAAAGCGAGGTCCTAAAAATAATTCAAATTATATCATTGGTACATTTGAACTACTTCAGTTTTCGCGACCAATATAAAATACCTTAATTCATGACCTTCAGACATAACGAGTAACAGTGATTACCAGGGCCAATTTGAAAACTGAAACTTTATTTGTGATACAACAAAATATAACGCTGAGGCCACCAAAATCATCAAATTGTTCTTCTTGATTTGTTAATTTTTTTTTTGGGCCAAATTGTCTTTTGACCAGCTAAATAAATAAATTGATAAATAAAGCACAAAATCAAGGGCCATTAGAACCTCAAAGGAGACCTACATCTGAAATTTTTCTGTTTTCGCGATTTCATTAAATTAAAAACGCCTGAATTCAAGAACTTTAAACATCAACGAGAAACACTAAAGGCCGTATTCACTATTAGTGTCATTGCGATACGAGAGAATATGATGCCGAAAATACTAAAATTGTGTTTCAATCCGATAAATAAATAAATAAATACACGTCTAAATAAAGGACAAAATTGTTAATGTGAGATCTTCAATAAAAATGAATTTGGCAAAAACTAATTATTTGTGAGATAATTTCGAGAAAAATCAACAACTTTCTTTCTTCTTTCTTTTAAATGTTGAATGTTTTTTAACTATGTTTGAACAACTGGTACTTGGTACTTCGAACCTGGAAGAGATTAAAAGTATCATACAGTTCCTTAGTGAGAACTAAGGACTCCAAAACTCAGAAATAATTAATAAGAAAAAAAAAACATCCAAATTAAGTCATCGGTACATTTGAACTACTTCAGTTTTCGAGACTTAAATCAATTAAAAACGTTTTAATTCACGACCCTTACGAATCAATGTGCTTCTGTTTTAACCAGATAAATAAATATTGTAACGGCACGGACCATGGTCAGTCGGGACGCGGACATTTTGGCAGTCAGTCGTCAGATAGTTTATCCTCCATTCTTTATGCATCATGGAGGTTTTCTATTTCTTTTGTGTTATTGATTCCTCATCACGTAACGTTTAATTTTATTTCTGGCATAAATTTGATTAAACATGAATAATAAAGCACAAAATCAAGGGCTATTTTCATTTTAGTAACCCGAAGGGTATGTTTACTTTCCACAAAATCAAGGGCTATTTTCATTTTAGTAACCCGAAGGGTATGTTTACTTTCATTCTCAAATTAAAGTATTACTTTAGTCTTAACGAGATTGTAAATACTTAATACCTGGAGACTGAGCATTTCACTCATTTCGACTCAATTTAAAACGTCTTAATTTTCGGCCTTTAGTCATAAATCAAAAACATTAAACACCATGATCAATTTAAAAACTAAAGAATTGAAGTGTAATATCAGTTCTCACGGACCAAAACTACAATCAAAATACCGCCTTACCTTTCCCTTTGTACTTGCAAGAGACGTTGAGGTCCCTTAGGTCGTAGATCCTTATCCGGCTGTCGTTCGACGTCACCAGAATTTTATCTTCGCCGGGCATCGGCTCGATCCCGCTCACCTTTCTGCCTACCGCGTTCCGCCCCCTTGACGATCGCACGTGGATCTGCGTGTGATACTTCAGCTGGTCGGTACTGTAGAAGATGCACCGTCCGTCGTAAGTGCCGACTACTGCGAACTTGCCGTTCTGGCAAAAATTCGCCGCGGTAATGAGCTTCGGATTACCCTCTACCTCGTTCCAAACCGCGACCTTCTTGTCGGGTATGTTCCACAATCTTAATTTACCGTCGAGAGACCCGCTCAAAAAGTAACGGTCGTCGCGCGGGTGGAACACGATGGCGGTCACGAAATCGATGTGCTGGAAACAACAGAGGCACTCCTTCCGCGATATGTGCCATAACCTGTGCGAAACTCAACGTCAGCTGACCACCGAGGTGGAGCTTAATATTTTTTGGAAAAATGGAAAAGCGAGAATGACTTTCAAACTGTCAAACCTCCCTTAAAAATGGATTTTGCCGTTTTTGCAGGAAAACTGTTTAAAAAATAAAATAAAATTCTGCTGAAGATATTACCAAAATTTAAGTTTTTTTTTATTACTAGGCTGCGGCGGGTTAATCAATTTTTGTCAAAATTTTGTCAGTAGATTTCATCGATTAATGTTACATGAAAAGATATCGATAACTTATTGTGAGAGTTGCAAAAATCTTCCCCAATCTTCTAGAAGAAGCTTGGGAGAGACCCCCACGAATACTTGATTCCGTAAGAATGTACAAGCGTTTGTAAAGAAGTCTTCACTACTAAGTTAGTTCATTTATTACTACATGGATGAAAAATGTTTGTGAAAGATGATTTTGCGGTGGTCGAAAACCGAATATTGGATGTTACCAATGCATCGTTTTCTAAGGGGAAGTTTCCAGAGGAATGGAAGTCATCTTTGGTGGTTCCAGTACTGAAGGTTCCAGGTAATGGGCAGAATTATAATTTTAGACCAATCAACACTGTGTCAGTGTATGAGAGATCATTATAACTCGTTACAAAGGAGCAGCTGCAGAGAGATTGTGACCAAAATAATTTAATTGTTTCTAGCCAATCGGGATTTCTTGCGAGACTGTGATGGTTAGCATCCATGAAGATGAATTTGTTGGTCCAGTTGATGACAATAGTTTTGTTTTGACTGTATTTTTGGGCTTTAGAAGAGCTTTTGAGACTGTCAATAGGGATATTTTAACAGATTTGGCAGAACGCAAAAAGTGAAATATTAACGACTCATGTGTCTTCTGTACATAAATGATATACTCCAAATTGTGAAAAACAGTACAATTATATTATTTGCTGACAATCCAATCATATGTCTCGTTGGTAAGAATATCAAACAAATGCAACTATCAATGACGACTTGTGTCGGCTGTGCAATAATAACACAATAATTTAAGCATTAATATTACCAATTCTTTATAAATTATCCTGATCTGATGTTTCGAATTGCGATGTCCCTTACGAGACACTTGTGTCAGAAATTTTGACTACCTTTTTAGAAATTTTGACTTGTTTCTCAGAAATTGTGACTTATTTCTCAGAAATTCTGGCTTATTTCTCAGTAAATTAATTAATTTTAAAATACGGTTTTTATAAAAATTTATAATATTAATCATGGTTACAGTGAGTAAGTACTATTTTAAAACTCAACACAAACTCAATTGATTTTTGTTTAAATCTATTTGCTTTATCTCTGCAAGGAAAGTGCACTTAATAAACTTGGAGAAAGGGCTTGTTGTGATACGATTGCGATTGCTTAACCTTGCCACTAGGTGACGCTTTCTGAAATAATCGCAAAAAAAAAACATATTTTCGGGAAAAATACTAACGATATAATTACGTTTTAAAAAATGAACGCTAAAAAGAAGTTGCATTTTATCAATTATCCTGAATATTTTTAGTATTTATTGCACTGACTATTTTATCAAAAATTAGTTTTATTCACTAAGTCTTTCGCTAATCAATTGTTGGCGACTAAAAACGTCTCTTTTAACAAAAATCGTGATCAAGGCTTGATGCTTGTGAAAGTTTGTTGATTGCCTACCGTTTTAATAACTTAAAGTGTTTTACTGAGGACAAATCAACCGCGTTAGGAATGAAGAATAATGCTAATTATTTCAAAACATATTTTACTACTTAAATAATACAATAAATTAGTGGGTTGTCTAAACCTAATAATAAATGAAAAAATTAGTTAAAATAATAAATTAATTGAAAAGGGACGACGATATCATAACGTAGTAATGTCGGCTACTGAGTAGTTTTGTGCGAATCATAGGAATTGTAAAAAGAAGTAATAATGGAAAATATCTAAATTTTATTTTGATTTTAAATAATCATTTTCATCCTAACTAATAAATTAAGATCTTTTATTCATATTTTAAGTTAGGATTAAAATATTGAGATGAGGTTTTCTCATAAAATACTTATGAAATTTTTATAAATATCTACAATTCCACGCAGCCTATATTTTGTTTGAACACTATTTCGCTTTACCAGTTTTCAGTGATCCCAAAAGGTGATATATGAAAAATTGCATAATGCCCAAGAAAATGTCGCACTTACCTTACGGTTTTGTCCATCGACGAAGATAATATGAAGTAATTTTTGGACCAGGACACGTCCAAGAGGTCGGAAGTATGTCCCGAGTACGTGCAGAACGGTTTCGGCATAAACGTCAGCCTGCTGGCTTCTTCGGCGCTCAGGGCTTCGAACGCGGCCAAATTCGTGGTATCCGTTGAGTGGTGAGAAACGAGGGACTCTTGGGACGGCGTGGGCGACACCTTTTCCGCGTTGTACTTGGTGCGCATGTCCTGGAAAAAGGGATAGGCGTCCCTCACCACCCAGATCCTCAGTATCTTGTCTTGTCCAGCTGTCGCCAACAATCTGCCACACATCGAAAATTTCATGCACCAGATGGGTCCGTCGTGCTGGTCGTCTTTTAACTCTTGCACGTGCTCGATCTTTTCGAACTCATACGGACCCTTGTGCGAGTTTGAAGCCTTAAAATTAAAAAATCTTGGATAAAATTTCGTATTATCAATTATGTCTGGCAAAAAGTTCAAGTCGTCCTAATAAACAAGAAACTAACCGGTCTCTTACCCTACGCCTATGAACTGTAATCAATAATAGACTATTGAATAAATTCGACTATTAATAACCAAATCAGCAACAACCGAAAACCTCCCTGCAGGCCTTATCATTTTAATTGCAAAATGTAACATGTAATGGACAAATATCCAAACATTTCCGAACTATCCAAACACCCTTCCATTCCTAGACATCTCTATTAATTGAAAACCTTGGGCCATTCCGTCTATAGAAAACCGATTCTCTCCAATAATTTCCGTTATCAAGATATCACATGGTCAATTAACAAAATACATTTCACCAAGTCACTTGAAATCAAATCAAAAGTTCTGACAAAACATAACATGAAAACCAGATTCTCTACTTAAAAAATAAAATTCCACTCGGGTCAGCAGTTGTTTCTAGCATACCGTCTAGCTGTGGCAAAGAATATATAGGGAGAAACAGGTCTAAAAATATCAACTACACTAAAAGAACACCAGAAATCAGTCAGACTTCGACAACTAACTATATCAGAGGTTTCTGAAAGTCACGCAACAGAACAGCAGATTTTGTTTGTCAAGACGACAACTATTAAGAGCACCTGAAAGTTCCTCTAAAACTGAAAGATTGTAGTGACTTTCGAAATTTTCTTAGGATGATTACCACCCGATTTTGAGGAATTGCTGAAAATCCTAAAATATCACGAATGAATACAAAATACAGAGCAGCAATTTCTCTCTCAACAGGCCGGAATTACGATTTTTGCCTTCTGGTGATTCATACACAAGTCTAGACAATTTATATAGTCACGCCCAGACCTGCAAATATTGTTTCATGTTTTCCACGTTAGACGGCAAGTTAAAAACGTTCAAAAATTGTTTCGAAACTCTTTCTCAATGTCTAGAGACCCTACTGAGACAAATCGTAAATATTTCCGAAACATTTCAGAAACGGATTTGAAAATTGTTTCTAAACAAAAACCTGCATATTTCAGCTCGTAGCTCCACTTTTTTTTAAAAGCGGACTATCTACACAGCTATGTGATAAAGTGGAATTTTGAAGTTGAACTTTTTGAATTTATTTTAAATTTAATTTAAAGATAAACTTGTCAGTCAATGAAACTGTTGTTTTCAGAAGATAATATATTAATTATTAATATTAAAATTACAAAATAAATTATGTGCAAGGACAGAATTGTGGAAGCCCGTCCTCTTGTGAGGTGTTAGAGCTATAATAATATTTAAAAAGGAAGGAAAAGGAAGCCTTTTCTACCGGCTATTTTGTCTATTACTTTAGCAATGTCGCAAACTGACCTTCAATTTGCAATTCTGCTCGCCGGGATGGACGTTGTCAACGATATCGATGACGTCTTCTTTATGGCGAGCGTGCGAAACCTCTTGCGCTATGCTCTTGGCTTTGTGCATCGTTTTCTTCACCGTCGACCCCAGGAACCTCTTCAGTTTGGCCGTTTTCTTCCGCATGCCGCCCGGCTCGCTGTCGTCGACAATCGGTATGTCCGACTTTTTGATGTCCACGCTTTCCTCGTCCGACTCCTGAAAACCGCGCCCACCAATCCTAACCACTTCCGGCGTATCCGGCGAGTCTTACCTTGTCTTTTTCCATGCTGGAGGAACTGACGTACTCGGAAGTGAGCCTCATTATGTGCAGGGACAGAGGGTTAATGCACTGCGGGAGCTTGTCTTCTGCGACGCTTAACGGTATCCGTTCACCGGTGTCCAAATTAAGTACGGTCACCTGTTCTAGGATTTCAAGATCGGACAGCTGCTTTCCGGAGTCAGTATGCGTGCGCACTTTCATGTTGACATCGCGTAACAAGTTCTCATCGCCCGCAGATTTCCTGCGGTCCCGCGAACTGTGCTTGCTGGTCATCTGATGAGTACCCCTGATCCAATTGTATACATGTTAAAAGCGAAGCGATGTGTCTGTTGACTGTGTGTTGAATCGAACATCAAATTTCTAATGTGCGAACCACTTGATAAACCTTATTCCACTCTATGTAAATAATACAATATGAAATACAGGACGTCCAAAGAAATAAATATATTACTCCTTTACTATTTGGTGTACAGAAAAATGTTAAATAGAAAAGTAGGAAGTGAGACTAAAAGAAACAACTACAATTATTTTCAAGTATCCAGGCCGATTACTATTATCTGAAATAATTATACTTAATTTGTCTCTGTAGACTTCTCACGTTCGGGTAATATTTATTTTATTGTCAAACTTTCGTGATGTTTTCGCACGGTTTGAAAATTTTCAGTATTTTGTTTGTACAAATGGGTATACCTCAAAAAATACTAAGTTTAAGTATAGGGAATGCTTACTAAAATTAAGAGCATGAATAGGAGTGATTAGTGAAAGTATAATATACAGTGTGTGTTGTTCAATTTGATTTTTTCACTACAATTAATATTTTTCATTTTATAAAATTGTTGGCATAATAAAATTTAAGCTGTGTGTGTAATATTTAAAAAAAGTTTGGTTTTCCACATATTTTTAAAAATAATTTTAAATTGTGTTTTTAACTACCCATAACTTATGTTTAACTTTGTTTTCTAAAACAAATAATAAATGGGATATATGACGGTGACATAGTATTTGGACACCTTATGTATTAACAATATTACATTGTTAATCGTTTAATATCTTCCTCCATATATAGGAGAAAGAAAAAGTACAGAAAGTTGGAGACTCCTCACAAATATTATCACCAATATTACCACAAGAATGGAACCAATACTTCGAAAAAATTCTGACTGAAGACAGACCAATTTAAAGATGCTCAAAACGCAGAAACCAAATATGGGTGTAAGAGGTCCTGAATAAAACTAACACCAGCATAAATGCAGTAACTGTGTAAAACTTTAAAGAATGGCAGAGCTCCGGCACCAGCAAATATCCCTGGAGAAGGGAAAATCTATATCATGCTCTAAGAAATTTATTCCAAAATTCCACATCTGAAGTGCCGGAAGAATCGAAAATGTTTTACTTGTCAACCATACACAAAAAGACAAGAGCAATTTATGTATATTTTAGTAGAATATTATCAGCGTAATTCTGAGACTATCACAAGCGTTTGACCGGTTAGATCACAAAATTCTAATCCACAAGCTTTGTAGGTGCTGGTAGAGAGGTAGGCCTTATTTTGGTTGTTTTGGGCTGCTGAAAAATGCACTATATTTTATATCAATTGTCACTTTTGTAAAAAAACAAGCGTATCTATTTCAAATAAACAGAAGTATTCACAAAGCATGAGCACAGTTACAAGAACTATAGTCTCATAGCGGATTAAGATTCCAAACTTATTTAAAAACGGTGTAAAGAGATATCTTCTTAAAAAAAGATTTCTAGACTGTTAAGAAGATTTAGACAAACTGGAAGTTACAATAGAAGACAAGTTTCCACCAGGTCCACCAAACCTGTAGATGACCGATATTTATCTTTGAGGGAGTCAATAAGTTTTCAATTGGTAATGTTATTATTACAGAATATCTATTTAATTTGTTTTAGGATCTATTACTGCAAAGTTTGAGCTGATAAAAAGACGAACAGGAACCATTGTTTGAAAATTAACGAGAGCTTCGAACCGAAAAATAATAAAAAATTCACGAAAAATTAAAAATGATCAATCGGATAAAAGCAACATTATAAGGAGAGGAGACTTGGCATATCAGATAAGGAAATTTCAAATTGTTTGTTGAGATGCAGATGGTTGGTTATGAGAGCTTGTGACACTGCAAGTTTTACAATTAAATTACAATAAAATTCTAATAAAGTTAAAAATCGAGAAGCAGATTGGATTATGCGTATACAGAGAACACATTGTTATTATCATTGTTAGCTCTTTCATAAAACATTTTATTAGCTTCAACATAACTGTATAATTCCATCAGTGTTTAGGTCTATTCAATTTATAAATTTTTATTTTATAGATATTATAAAAAATATATTATTTATTTATTATCCGAACGATTTTAATTGTTTCATAAACATAAACATTATGTGCAGAGGCTATATGTATTTTTATTTTCTTCAGTTTTTATTTAGTTATTATCCTTAGGGTCTCGATTCAGCGTTGTTCTTTTATTTACTTTTCATTTTATCCTAATTTTACTTGTATATTTTCTTTGTATCCATACCAATATACAGGGTGTTTTTCAAGTATGTGACCAAAATTCAAATTAAGGCAAAAATTATAATAACGACAGGCTGAAAACTGGGGTATCAGACATTTAGCAGTCGGGTCATTAAAACAGAGCTAAAGAGTAATTGCATGTTATCGACGAGTTGGCCTTTGGAACAATAACACTTAGGTATATGTTAAAATATTTAAATAATTTTTTCTACTCCCGTTTATAAAATATCTAATTATACACACAATTCTGACAGTCATGTCAGTGAATGTATTCTTGCTGTTTTGCGAAAATGTACCGAAAAACTAACGGTGGTAGAAAAAGTATAGTATGCAATACGTTTGGTGAACTTTTTAACTCACTCGTTTATTAAACGCTCGCACATAATATACTATTTCTTTGCGTTTTATTGCGAAATTGTCAAACTAAGTTGTTTATTTCCTAAATAATTCTTTTCAAAATATACTTTCAGTAAATCGGAACGGTTTTTTTGTGACATTTGGATGTACTTTCGTGGCCTTCCCAATCTCCAGATCACAATGCGATTGAGAATCTCTGAACTTACCTTAAAAATGCAGTTGGCACACATAAAACACAATTAGCATGAACTTTGGGAAACATATACTATAAATTCTGTCAAAGGCTTACAAAGTTATAAAAAATATCAACGTCATAAAAATTAAGAATGTACTAGCTACTTAAATATGTCTGTGTGCAATTTAACCAATTTATAACTACTTGTGGATAATATATTTTGGGTTTCTTAAAAGGCTCTATTTTTGTGGCCAGATATTTTTTTATAGTATTCAATTATTCATTTAATAAATATTTTAATAGAAATTTTAGATTAGATTTGTAATCATCTTTTTCTGTTACTAGTTAGATGTTTGTAATAAAATTTATTTTATAACTTAAATGCGATACAGAAAAGTTTATTTCCGATAAAATATATTATCTGTTTTATTGACCACCATATTTTGGAAAAAGAAAATTTTTAAAAAGCTAATTACAAAAAACAGATTTCTATTTTAAGTTTGATGCCTCACATTTTGATAAACACTATTTGCTCCTCTTTAAAAAAATTATGGTGTTGAAGTCTAAAAGTGACACTTTACCCACACTTTGATATAAGAAATTGTACAAATAAAACCTTTTATTTATATTCATTTACCTGTGAGGGCCGAGGCTGTAATGGCCGAGGCTGCTTCTGTTAGATATCCGCCTGGGACTGCTCACACGAGGAGCATCGGTCTTTTCCGACACACTGTCCTTGTTCTCCTCAGAGATGTCTTTGAGAGAACCTCCGCCCAACCTTTGGGCCTTCAAACTATCATTGTCCTGGGGCTTCACCACAAACTGACCTTTAAGCGCCTGTGAAATCTCTAAAGATTTTCCAGAGCGAAGGGTGGAGCTTTTAGACTCGTCCGACGGGACATTTTTATCACTTTGGTTGGAGACAGAAGGTAAACAATCCAGAGAGTGTTCAAACTCCCTGGTCAAGTATTCAATAGTGCTGGCCGGACTGACTAAATCGCTAGATTTAAAGGTCGCGCTAGAAGCAGATTTCTACAAAACAGCTCTATCAAAAAAATTCATTTTCTCTTTACATTTTTTGCCTTACAGTCAACCCAAGCAGGGAACTAGCATTTCTACCCTTTTTCTTGCGCCTAGGAGGCGGCAGAGGCGCATCTGGGGGCCACTTGGGTAAAGAATTGGAAGCTTTGGTGCTGGCTATAACATCAGGCTCTTGCAAAGAGGTTGTTGGCTTTACCGGGTTATTGTTATTGATTGATTGTGTTGTAAGAACTGTCATGGGCAGGGTCAGGGTACTGGGATACTTTTTTGAGCTTTGGGTAGATTCTGAATCTAATGAGCTTGAAGACAGAGCAGAAACAGACAACGTTTTCCTTGTTGCTTCTAAAATAGAAGGCGATGCTAGTAGCAAAGTTTTGGAAATGAAAAAGTAGTGTTCAAAATTGTTCCGCAATCCCAACTTACCGGAGTTGTTATTTATTACTCTCATAAGCCTACCCAAAGAATTAATACTTTGCAAACTAATGGTGTCATGTTCAATGATCCTAAAAGGATGAGACGGCTTGTTGGTTGGGGCAAACACCCCTTCCACTGAAGACGACTGGCTATTTGGTGGTGTGACATTGCCACATCCATCTTCTTCTTCATTTTGTAATTTCTGCCTTAACTCAATGAATTTTTTTCTACCGGTCGCTAGAACCGACTCGTGGTTTGCGCTCTTTCCGGGGTTTTCATCAAAACTGCGAGCATTATGTTGCTTGATATCAATATTTTTAGGTGATAAAACATTAGGTTCAGAGTTTGACCTTTTCGGAGGACTTTCTTCAGAATGTTTTCTTGATTTTCTAAAAATGTTCAGCGTTCAAACATAACATTGTTACCACAAGTTAAACCGATGATTTTTTTGGAATTTAAACACCTATCCAATTAAAATGACAACGTAGTTGGCTTTACAGTACTGACAAAACATTCTACTGTTTAACAGAGACTTGTCAAACGCATTTGTGAATTTTGTACCATGATGATGTTTATGGAGGTAAGTACTACTAAGTATCTAAAATCATAAAATTCCCTCCCTCTGCAATCTACCTTGCACCCTGATATTGGGGAATTTCCTCGGCATCATAGAATTCTTCGGAATCGCTGCTGTTAGACATGATCGGGCACCATCTTCACACCGTCGATCTATCGGGTAATCTTAGTTTTGCTGACCCAAACAACAATTTAACATAAAACAATTTTCTATTAATTTAAAGGACTTTATTTACTAAAAGCATGAAGTCATTCGTCAAAAGCTGTCAAACCTGTCGATAATGTTTAGCGCCAAGCTTATCGACCAAGCCTAACAGCAGGACCGTCTCTGATTTTGTACTTTGTATGGAAAATACTTTTGGCGGTATCGTAAACAGTAAACAAATCAAAGAATATGACATACAGCTACGTTTTTGGTGGCAGTAAACGATAAATACTTTGCTTTTTACAAAGTAAAAATAACGGGAACGTCTTTATGCACTGACGTCGATAGAATAAGCGCCAATATCATTTTTAAAATTTTCAATATAAATTTACGCGACAAGTACGATTCTGCGTGTGTTGAACTTTTCTGTCATCTTCGTTTTTGCAGAACGGCATTGCGACTCGCTCTCAGCAGCTCAAGGCTGTTTCCTCACCCAAGAACCAAACCAACATGGAGGACCTGGCTGTAGAAGTTGTCGGCGAAAATGGGGCTCTTTATAAGGTCTGTATTGTTCAAAGTATGCGCTCGTGTTACGGAAACGCTGTCGAGACAGTGCGGCGGCTCCTGTTGTCAACCGTCGCGCGATATAGTGCTCCATCCGGTATCCATTTATCCCGAAATTTTTAACGAAATTCCCGTTCGCCTAACGCGGTTTCCTTTGACGCCATGGCTATTTGACAGGGCGTGAATGACCCATGTGTCTCGATTTTTGTCGCTTGGTGAATTCAAAAGCGGGTTGGGTCGCTTTCGAACTTACATTCACGCCTTCGGGTTGATAAGATTGTAGCGTTAACGCGGCCACGCTAGGTTATGTTCCGGAACATATCATATTACAGGCGGTTTCAACTCAATTTTTTCCGTTGCAGGGCTCCATTCTGGATGTACACGACGATGGGGTACTCGTTCACTTTGAAGACGAGTAAGTTCATCCTAAACGCAAATTCGTGTTGCCGATCATTTCTTTAACGGTTACGCTTTTTTTGTAGGTGGCAACCGGACTCGAAATTTCCCTTCGAACAGGTTAGGCTACCCCCCAATCCGGATCAGAAAGTGGAGTTCACGGAGAATATGGAAGTGGAAGTGTTCTCCAGATCGAATAATCAAGAAGGCTATGGTTGGTGGAAGGCTAGGATTAAGGTTAGAGTTGTCATGCCTATTTTTACTTTTTTGATATATTTTGCGCGCTGTTTTTCTTGATAAATCGCTAGCGTTAGACATGTCGGTTTTTTTTTTTCTGAAAATACCTAGATGATGATCAGTTTAAATAAAAAACGCCTCTAAAATAATTGATTTTCAGTGTAAATGACTGGTTTGAAATGATTCAAAACTATTTCTTTGATGTTCTTGATTCTTTTGGAAGCGTGCTAAAAACTAAGTAAACATTCAAATATTTTCTCAGTTAATCTAGTGTTGCAGGTTATTTGACGGATTTCTACAAATAATTTTTGACTAAACTAACCCACGCAAGACCCGTTAATTTCGTTAAAAATTTTCATTTTTAAAAAAAGCTGCAAAAACACTCAGTGAAGTCATAAGGAGGTTATGGTTGTGAAGTGGATTGCTGTGAAAATTTGTCATAGAAGAGAATATGAGAAAATTAATTTCTTGAATTATTGTAAGGTTTGTGAGGTTACAATTCAATATTCCTTTTGTCAATAATAATACTAATTGCTGTTTTACTCAAATCTCATCTCAACGGTTATTAACTTAACATTATCTAGGGAACTTATTTACTGGACTGTGATGTCATCAGCGTTTGGCCGATTCAGACTGTTTTCGTTTTCGTCAAAAAGTTTTATTGTATTAAAATTTGTATGGGCAAAGTTTGTTTACCTAAAATCATTGCAAGACATGGTAAATGTCATCTTTATCTTACAACTGTTTTTAACAATGAATAAGAAAAATAAAAATGGTTTATAATCACAGAAAAACAAATAAGAATTGAAGTTGAAGAAGCCAACATATTTTTTATTTAATACAGTAAACTGCTAAAATTGGGAACAAATCAAAATGAGGACAATGATTAAAATGGCTAGAAAATTTATAGGAACAGGTCCCTAAAAGATCGTTTACGGTCAGGTAGTCCAAAAACTAAAGAGAACACAAGATTAAACATTCTATTAAAAAAGGAGGATAATAATCCCCATTGTGCATCTTCTGAAGTAGCTACAAATAATGTTAGCCAAAGAACAGCTTTGCCTGCTTTAAAAGAAGAAAAATGTCATCTGTACAAGATTACATAACTAGAGGAGCTAAATGAAGATGATCCCTACTGCAGACTTCAGTTTTCTAAAACTATGATGGAAATGTGCAACTTAAATCCATTTTGTCATGGACAGGATAGTGTTTAGTGATGAAGCCACCTTTTGTTTAAATGGTTGAACGAAAATCATACACAACAGCTACAAGAAGTAAATGTTTGGGCAGGGATTTTTTTTAATCAAAATCTCACTGGAGCCCAATTTTTACAATTTCTTCAAAACTACTTAATTCTTACTCTTGCAGTGTCATTGCCAAACTTAAATCAGCCTGATATGCCAAATGATTGTGTGAATATTTAAATGCGGTATTTCCATAACGGTGGATTGGGATGAATGGAATGGTCTGAAAGATCTCCACATAATACTCCACTGGATTTTTTTACTTTGGAGATGTTTAAAATCAAAGTGAATAAGGAAAAATCACAAAATTAAGATGATTAAAATTTTCAATTAGAAACCAAATAATTTTTTAAAGAAACTTCCACCGGCTACTGTAATACTTTTTACAAAGCTTCTGGATTCCTCCTGCCTCGGTTTTGCTGAGTCGAAATTGCTGACGTTTCGACAATCATCCTGTTGGCTTCTCCAGAGCTTGACTGAAACTGGTCAAGCTCTGAAGAAGACAACAGGATGATTGGTGAAACGTCAGCAATTTCTACTCAGCAAAAACCGACGCAGGTGGAATGCAGAAGCTTTGTAAAAAGTGGACAGCAAATAAGGTAAATTAATGAAAATATCCTAAGTAATGTTGTAATGGTGGAAATTTGCAACACCTAATAAAATAATTTCTATGACATGCCCTGTTTCTCTCAATTTTACTCACTGCGGTTGTAAAATAATGGTTTTCCATTTAAAAAAAGGAACTTGAAAAAGTTATAATGGATGTGAGCGAACCTTTTTCTTGAAATCCAATATCTGATATTCAAATAAATTTGTTCCATAAAATAAGAGAGAACAAAAATTGGAGTTGAAATGAATTGAAGTTGAAAAAATATTTATTTCGTCCAAACTACAAAAGATAGAAACATAATTCTAACATTAATGGATAGAGAAAAGTGTGCAATTATTGTATGCATTTAATAAGAGCATGATGCATTACACAGCCAATGTTAATTATGGAATTCACTGCTTCATTAATTTGATGTCGTAGATGTTCAAGGGGAAGATATAGGAGGGATGAAAACACGCTCTCTTACGTAATCCCAGAGATAAAAATTGCAATGAGTGACATCTGGGAAACTACCGTCGATTAAATTGATCTTCTGCTCCTCCTCTTCCTATCCAACGTCCTGGAATGATTTTATTCATGTAACGTCGAACGTCTAGAGAGAAATGAGGCGGGACATCTTGCATGAAGATGAAATCATTTGATTCTTCAGTTTGGGGATATATAAATAGTTTTGAAGGATATCTGGATACAGTATTCTTCGTCGTCGTCGCAGTTTTCTCCCATACACTTTAGTTACAGATGTCTCACAGGAGATGTTGGTGAATCACTTCAATATTCAGTAATAGGATTTTTGGTTGCCTAAGTTCTAACGTTATGGCGATTAACTTTTCCAGAAAGATGAATTTTTCAGCGGAATTCTTTTCTTTCATATCATCTAACATGCTACTGTAAAATTCGTACCTTTTGTTGTGGTTGTCATAATGCAATGCTTGCAATAACCGCAGTTTGTATGGCTTCATGTGCAGACGATATCGTAGAAGTCGTCATACCGTTGGTTAAGGAATGTTAAGTTTTTTGCTCGCTCGCGATGTGTATTTCTTTGGGCTTCTTTCTTAAATTGTACGAATACGCTCTCGACATTCTTGTTCGATGTGCGAGGACGTCCCGTGCTTTTTCATTTGCAGGTAGAGCTATCTTCTATGAATTTTCCATTCCACTCGTAAATTTGCTTACGACGTGGTGATCGTTTATCAAATTGATGGCGAAATGCTCGCTGAACTGCAACAATGTTTTGCCAGTTGTAGAAAACAAAAAGAATTCTCCTGTGGTGTCTTTATTTCACCATAGCCTATCAAACTGCAAATAAACATCAGCACCAATGCGGCCACGGTTGGAACTTTTTTTAGTAATAAATTTTTGCACATTTCTCATCGTCAATCATGTTTCTATCTGTTGTGGTTTGGAAGAAATAAATGTTTAAAATCTGCCCTTTTAGAATAACCCTATGTATTTTTCATTTAAAATATAATATTTTTATCACACTAGCGACTTTTTCCATTACTTTTATTATTTACTTATTACTATTATTTTTAAAAAGAATAATCTTGGGACGCGACTTAAAGTGTTCTTAATTAAAGATGATGAAGGGAGAGTTCTACGTCCTGGAGTACTTGGGCTGGGACAGTACCTACACGGAAATCGTCAGCAACGACCGCCTCAGGATGAAGAACAACAATCCCCCGATCGAGAGTAGCATGTTCCACAAGTTTGAAATCGAAGTTCCTGAAGACGTTAGAGACTAGTAAGCCGAAACGCGTTCACTTTCTCGCACTCCGCTAGCTTTGACGCGACCGGTTGCAGCTGCAAGAAAGACACCCACAAGGAGTTCCAGAAGGCGATAGGGGCGGGGCGCATCTTCTACAACCCCGACAAGGGCGTGTTGGTTGCGATATCGAGGTGCGAGACGAGCAGGAAGCGGGCGTCGCTGCTTCAGGACATGCACTTTCGCAGCTTGCAACAGAAGGTGCTGCTGATGAAGAGGACGGAGGAGGCGGCGCGTCAATTGGAGAGCACCAAATTGGCGACGATCGGCGGCTACTCGGACGAGTTCCACGTCAAGGAGGACCTGATGGGGCTCGCGATCGGCGCACACGGCGTCAACATCCAGCAGGCTCGCAAAGTGGAGGGCATCACCAATATCGAGCTCGAGGAGAACTCGTGCACGTTCAAAATTTACGGCGAGACGGACGAGGCGGTGAAGAAGGCGCGCTCGCTGCTGGAATACAGCGAGGAGTCGCTTCAAGTGCCGCGAGCGCTCGTCGGCAAGGTTATCGGTAAGAACGGGCGCATCATCCAGGAGATCGTCGACAAGAGTGGAGTGGTAAGCGACCCGCTATTGCGTGGACGGAGAATTTGACCGCGCGTTTTTTTTTCTTCCTTTCGGTTTCCTCCAAGGTGAGGGTGAAAATTGAGGGGGACAACGAGCCGCAACCGACGTTCCCAAGGGAGGAGGGCCAGGTGCCGTTCGTGTTTGTCGGCACCGTCGAGAGTATATCCAACGCCAAAGTCCTCCTGCAGTATCACCTGGCGCACCTCAAGGTCGGTATTGACGTTTCGTTTTCGCTTTTCTCTCCGTGAGGTTTCATTCCTGTAATGTGACTCCAGAAAAGAAAGTTCATTACGTAAAAATCTTGTAAATTAATTTTTATTTCACAGCGGTAAGCCATAGGAAGACCTGAATAAAATGGGGTTATTTGCTTTCCTAGAATCTTGAAATAGCGTATGGAATTGATTGGTCAATTTTTTTTTTGTTATTTGACCCGTACGTAATTACATTACTTGGAAAATGCATATTTTTGTAGTTGTTGAATTTGTAATCCTCATATTTGGCAAAATATTTAAAAAGGAAGTCGTAAATTAACATTTTCCTCATTTTTGTTGTGTACTTTTCTACGATAATATCAAAAAACTTAATTTTTTCCCATATGTTTCTGAATGCAGTTTGATATAAAATTAACCCGTGGCCTTGATAACACTTAAAGTTACAGACCGATTTGGAAAAACCGGGCATAGCGACTTTGAAAATGTGCATGTTTGCGGCTCAATTAAACAACAGTAACAAAAACTTGTACTTAATTTTCTTTTTTTTTATATAACATTTTGCCAAATATGTTTGTCAAGTTTTCAAAAATTGCAGTAATATGCATCTACAGTGTGTCATATTTTGGTCGCGACTGAGAGGTACTTTTTTGTGAAATGAAAGATGACGTTAACACCCCTCGTATCTCGAGTATTCTATGAAATGCCGGAAAGGTGAAATGTGTATCCGATATAGGTTTTTACGTAAATTCAGTGGCGTAGTCAGTTTTTTAGAAAATAGTTTCATCTTTTTGAAAAAAAAAATTTTTTTTAATGGAACATCCTATATTTTATAGGTCACTTTGATTCTGCACAAAAAAGTTTTTTTTTATTTTCATGAAGTTATGTATTTGCGGTAGGCCTTTGAAAAAGGATTTATTAAATATCTAAACTTCTTTATTCACGACGATTAGGTCACTTTGACTCTGCACAAAAAAGATTTTTTTTTTTATTTTCATGAAGGTATGTATTTGCGGTAGGCCTTTGAAAAAGGATTTATTAAATATCTAAACTTCTTTATTCACGATGATATTTACACAATAACTTTTATAATTTGCACGAAGCCAACTTAGTTTATTATTTACATTCTGTTTGTCAAAGGCAAAATTCCATTCCATGCATATGCGACAAAGGATAGGTTAGAGAGATCGGACGAAAAGTATCAACTAGGGTTAAAGAACATGAAAGAGCCTTAAGACCAAGACAAATAAACTCATCAGCAGTTGTCGATCACATTCCCGATTTTATTCGATAAAACTAAAATTCAATTCCTCTACCAACGAAAAATCCGAGAATCGATAGAAATCTATATGCAACTAAACAATCGCGACAATGTTCGTGCGTCCTTCTGTAGCTCCTCCCCCCTTAAAAAATATATAAGCAGGTACAGAGTAAAATACGAGCTAGTTTAAGTTAAGCCCTGAAGTAGCCGACAGGAGGATTGGGGACATGTCAACTAGTTCAATTCAACAATAACCGACGCAGGAGGAATCCAGAAGTTTTGTAAATAGAATAATAGCAGCCTGTGGAAGTTTCTTTAAAAAATTAAATCTTTATCTTATATCTTTATATTTTTAATTTATTTTTTCCACACTTCACCGTAGTAATCATTGTTTTTATAACAATCTAAAGTGAGCACATCAAAAGTTTTAGTGTTTTGCAATTATGGTTTTGGTAAAAATTATTTAGGCATAAATTCTGAAATGACCGTGGTTGTTGATCGATATTATAAGGTCATATTCACTTGTGACGGGACACGCTCCTTTATGTCCGCAGGAAGTGGAGCAGCTCAGGCAGGAAAAGCTCGAGATTGACCAGCAGCTGCGCAGCATCCATCACGGTTCAAACCTCGGCTCGATGCAGAGCCTGTCGATGAGCGGACGACGGAACGACCGCGGCTACAGTTCGGACATGGACGGCCGCAGTTCGGGCAGGGGCGGCTCGATGAGGGGCCGCGGCGGCGGGCGCGGACGGGGCGGCGGCCCCCGACAGAACGACCGCTACAATTCGGGTACGACAGATTACAATAACGTTGATGCGGCGAAACAGCGCAGGACGGGCGGCGGTGGCGGTGGCAGCCGGGGCGGTTACAACGCTACCAACGGCCGCCCGCCGAGGGGCGGCGGCGGCGGCGCACACCGCCCGAACCGCGGGCGCCTCTCGGTCGATTCGGGGGCGGGCGAGCGCAAGTGATTGGCGGCGGCGGCGGCCCTTAGACAGCAACAGCGGCGTCCGGAGCCGCCGCCCGTTGCCGCAGTCCGGGGTTAAGGAAGCGCTGACTCGGGAGTGGGAGGGGCGGCAACACTCGAATCCGAACTTTGTTTGTCGAGAACGTTTATCCGTTTTTTCTTCTTCTTTTCTATTAATTTATTACGGTAGGAAGCGGAAAAAGAACAAGTACGCGGTAGGTCAAATGTACCACCGTTCCTAACGCCCGAGCGTAGGGGGTGCGGGTGTTCTTTCTCTTTCTATCTCCTGTCGCCGCGTCTAAACGAGCGGTTTCTCGACAAACTGACCGAGTATCGCAAAACAAACCGGATGACATGTAAAAAAGGACCTAGATTTAATCAACCAAAAAATAAAAAATACTTTCCGATCGACTTGGTATAATTAATAGACTGACCCGGCCAAGGACTAATTTTTTCTTTACGATGAGTGTGTGTGCGGACGTTTTTTCTGACGGATCGCCTACTAGGCGTATACAATGTGTCCTAGATTCGCTCTCTTTACGGAGATCTCCGCAAAGGTTAAATGAGGAAAGTTTTAGAGGAAACCTGGCGTATTTCATAACCGGCTTCAATTGGCAGCTGTTAAAGAGTGACATTATTCAGACACTTTTTGAAGACGCGTGTATGAAATGCCGCGCTTCATTTTTCTTACGCCATATTGGATTCTTTGATTTTTTCAAAGAGCGTAAACTTTCCAGTTCAGCGATGTCTTACAAGTGCACAAAAAATTTATCACATGGTTTGTTTGTCACTTTTTTTCCATCTAAGGGGGGTTCTGACTTCGACTTTAAATAATGCCTCGTTGCAGATAGACGTCATGTTGCAAATCTGTGTAATTGTGTAATTAGAATTTACAATACTTTACTTGTAAATTATATAATAATATTAAATAGTTCTTTTTGTTGTCAAAGGCGTTAAGCTTCCTCTAAAAGTTTTTCCCCACTTAACCTTCGCTGAATGTATAATAGAATCTGGGACACATTATATATACTGTTTTATATAGTTAAATATGAATTGAAAAGGACGTCTCCTACTTAGAATCTAGCATTTTGTTGTATTTCCATTGGCTCGCGTTTTGGAAATATAATGTGTTAAATAGCTCGAGAGCACGCCGCTACCGATTTAGAAACGCGCAAAAATTTGACAGGATGCTTAATTTCGGATGGTTCAAAATCGAAAAAGGTAAAATATTTCTTCATTAAAGCTATTTAAGGAATGGGCGAAAATGAGGTAGGCATTAAAATTGTCTACAAGGCAACGATTATATCTTCTTATTTTAAGTAAAATATCTGTTCAAAAAAAAAACGAAATACAGAATGTAAAAATTATTTACTACACACTTTTTTTTTTCAATCAAAAACTATAAACAGTAACTATGTTAGGAATGAGGGAAATGTTAGACAATAAAATAGTTTTTTTTAAAAAGTTGATTGAAAAAATTTCCAATAATAAAAAAATTATTTTTCCTATCGGCCGATTAAAGAATTTACAAATTATTAAGCAAAATATAACAAACGTTATCAATTTTGAAGAGTGCTGACTAGAATTACAACGCCGTATTATTATGCATAATAGAAATTATATATATACCCTATGTTCTCTTTTCGATGTGTCCTTATGGAAAACTACGTTTATTATTGAAGGTAGGCGGATACCTTTTGGATGTTACCACACTGCTTTTTTAAGAAAATTCGTAAGATCAGATTTTGTAAGTATTATTTTCATTTCAACTTTTTGACAGAAATAAAAATAAAAGTTTTGTTTTTTTAAGACTCTCAAACACATACGTAGTATTTTGTTTGATTTTGTTTATAACTTTATATTTGCTGATGTCCGTATAATAAAACTATTGCTTTGATGTTTTGAACAGTAAGCCAAAGTTATGTTTATGATTTAACTTTACAAAACGCAGTGGCTCTTCCTAAAAAGTCCTGTTTCGTTAGAAAATACATTTGCCCAAGGATATTTGTATCTTGGTAGCTTCAAAACAGTATCTCTCCAGTAGTTTCTTGATTCCAAGCGTCGTAACTTATTCACGGTACAAACCATGGACAACGCTTATCTATCTTCTACGGTTCTCCTGATTCCTGCTATATATTTGTGAGGTGCTTGAATTTGGTCCACAAACATGATAGAGGAGCTGCGTCTCGTTTTTTTGCCAGTGACTCCCTTGGATCATAATTTTTTCCATCCCGTCCTTCCGTATCACGTCAGTGGAATATTTGAGCATGCTGCTTCATGATCTGGAGTTCCCTAGATGTGAAAATATTTGTCCTGTGGGCCATCCAAGGAATCCTCAACATTCTGCGATAGCATATCATTTCGCCTCTATTCTTTTATGGCATGCATCGTTCAAGATTCTGAGTCATAGGTTGCGGTGGAGGCCTCATCTTATTTTGGCGCCAAGGTAACAGTGTCGCTGGTTTCTATATGGTGGATATGTCGAAGAGAGATTGTCTGACCTCTGTCCACAATCAATAGAACATTTGGTTCTATTCAGTCATAGGTCTGATTCTACAATAGTCAAGTACTGGATTTAAAATTAACAGAGAAGTGGGCTATATCTCCAAACTAACCAAAATTACTCAAACAAATAATGAAAATACACTTCTGATGAATGAAGAATTTAAGTGCTCTAGATTCTATGATGTGTCCATCTTTTAATTCCAGAGTAACACGTGAAACTAAACAACTCAAAAATGCCCCATTTTTTTCCATTTTCTCATTTTTGGAAGAAAACGCTGTACAATTCATAATAATTACTTAATAAATTTATTATAAGGATATCAGCAAACATAAATTAACAAAAAATATATAACAGTGCCGTATTTTAATATTTCTGCGAGATAGAACATTGCGAACATAAAATTTAAATTGAAGCGTCATCAGGTCATCAAAAATCTGGTCCCTATTTAAGAGTAAAACGTCTTTGATGACGGTTCTGATAGAACATACCTTTTAATTCAAATTTTAAATATGCCATTATAATTTTGGTAAAAAGTTGGCGCGAAATTTTCTTGTCCACCTTTTGAGTTATCTTAAAACGCTTTCTTTTTAGAGTTATTACAGAAATAATAATTATCTCAGTCTAAGGGTGTGTGTGTATTTTTTTTTTTGAAGAAAATAATGACATACAAATAAAGTACCCTGTCAAATTATAGCCCGTTACTACTATTCGGTCGAATCTCGTCCTTCTAAAACGATGAAATGCGCTGGTAAGCCAAAAAAATCAGATTTGCCAAGTTGCAGGCCATATACAAATAAAAGCATTAAACTTTCTGTATTGATGATTTACCACGGTGGTAGGTATAGCTTTTCTTGGAGTTTCCGAGCTTGCGCTAAACATTTTTTGACATTTAATCGCCTACTAATGTCCTTTAACTCTTTTTCTAATCTTGTTTGAATGCCGTCGGTAACTGGATTTTTCGGGCTTTTCGTTGTAAACGCGCGTGCGCGGACTTCCTCGCTCCATTTTTTTTTTAATTTAATTTCGCCCGAACAGAGGAGGTCCGTGCCCGCCTACGACCTATATTGTGAACGTATTAATAAGTTATTAGATGTGTCGCGTTTTAACGGTGCAAGGCTAAAAACGACGTCGCCGATTGATGCCGTTCCAACGGGTAGTTCAAAAGTACCTTGAATTTTTCATTGCGTTTTAATTGTGCTAATACCTTCCAACGAACGACTGCAGAACTGCAGAGTTTTTTCTCGCGAGGCACAATGTGGACAAATTACGCTTATAACTATTGCGTCGAAGAACTTGCCTACTATAAACGTCCCGCTGGTTTCAAATGACGTATTTATGATATGATTTATATTTTGGCAATGATCCCTAACCTAAACGTGATGTATATAAGACTAGCCACATATTGGTCGTATTTTCTCTTATACCTAGAGCATACCATTTCAACAGCAGTAAACTGACAATGGTACGGAGGAAGTCTTAGTATTTTGTGGCCTAAAGGTTTCACATGTTCCTCCAAGAGTTATTTTGGTTCATTGTTACAATTTTTTTCAACAATGCTCCAGATACTCTGGGAAGTCAATGTACTTTTTTTTTTAATCCATCCAATCAATCTCTGCGTTGTCCATAATTTCTTGCTATATCCTTCAAAAGGCAGGAATGAGGGCTTGCGTCCATCACTATCAAACTTTTTCGAGCAATTTTTAGAATTTTGTCTGTTCATTAAATATTAAATTGGGTCCCTTAATAAATAAACATAGTGTTATACTGTCAGCTGTTTCCAAACGAATTTTCACTATAAATCGTAAGTCTCATTAATAAATACGGTGGTATACACTTAAAACAAATACTTTTTACGTATTTTTTTAGCGAGCTGATGGAAAAACTAAAATATTCATTTGTCTCTTTTAGTTTGTTCTGCTGTTTAAGTAATCTGTAATTTTTGTTTTTGCCTCTTTCTGCTCTTAAGACAAGATATTAAAAACTATTAGCTACGATTGCTAATTATGTCTTCGCGGAATCTTGCAAACGTTTGTAAACCGTCACAACAAATTAATTTTGACGAATATATTCCGGAAGACACATAACCGGCATGATTTTTTTTTGTATCTGTCAGTTGACTTAGATCAAACAAACATAGCCAAAAGTGACGTGATTTCACATTCTATTCTAGTTGGAAGCACAATCTTTAAAGTAACCAATATTTTTCTAGGCAAATTTCACTCTATCTGCGATGCTATGCGACGTGTGAATCTCCATTCAATATATAAGTATGAACGTGTTGAACCATATTTGGTTAGTTTAGTGATACTAGGGAGA